AGCCGGGGGCATTCAATCGGTTCGTGAGTTGTGGACCGAATGGACATGTGGCCTCCCTGGTGGTTATGTAGTTGAAACGCTGGAGCAACAGCTCGGTACCAAGTGGTGTGACCATCACGAGAGACGCTTCTTCAACCGACGACGAAAAATTGTTGATCTTGTAAAGACGGTCGCTAGCTGAGTTTGCAACCACGAGGCGTTCGACAAGTATCAGGCAGTCGAAGAGGCGATTAAGCGTGTTGACAGCATCCGCTGTATTCGCAAAAAATCGCTCAATTGGGTGTCTCAAAACGTAGCTGCAATTGCACATGAGCTCGGAGTACGAGACCAGGACGTTTAACATCAAGCACAACCGCGGTCATACGCGATAACTGCGCGCTTCAGATAAATTACAGCGGTAAATACAACTCTCAACATTGTGACTTTGCGGTAGGTGCCGCAGTGTAACTACCGCAGTGTGAGATCGCGGTAGCTACCACAGTGTGACTTCGCGGTAGCTACCGCAGTGTGAGATCGCGGTAGGTGGGTGCCGCAGTGTGGCTACCTAAGTGTGACTTCGCGGTTGAGCTGCCGTTTAGGCGAGGTGGTAGTTATTGAGGCAAAAGAGCTGTGATGAGGATCACATGCGAGGTCTCGATTGATGCAAATTACGTATATTGTTTTTAAACATGTTACTTACCCTGTTGAGGCCCACGTGCGACTCTGCTGTGGAGCTTGGAGCGGTAAGAAGCAGCTTTTGTAGCGTTAAAGTCTGTCGATATCCATTCACCCAATTTGTCCTCAATGGATTGTGGTTCGGCTACGTGCTTCGAGATTACATCCATGTAATGAAGCAGGTATAACCACAATCCACACTGTTTGATTGCTGTGGCTTTGTGTTGAAGGCAAAAGTCTTCCATTCAAATGCGTCAAATTCCTTTTCGTGAAGGTTAGACAGAAACCACTTGGTGACATCGAAGGCGTAGGCGGAACTATGAGCCCTTCGCAGCGAGTTGATATGATACACCTTCGGCGGCGCGGATTTTCAATTACGAGGAGGCTCCAATGCTTGCGGCCGGATACGGGAACTAGCATGTAGCGATAACGTTTCCAGTCGAATTGCTCAATCAGATTTTTGAGCAAGCGGCGTTTTTTTTTTGCGGTTTCAGTGTATATCGGGCCACCTCCATCGACAAGTAGAGTGTGGTCCCGTAACAACAGACCAACCCATCTTGCTTGAGTAGTCAATGGCCATCGACGTCATGAAAGAAAGTGGCAGCAAGCTATCCAAGTCCTCGCGGTAAAACCGGAAGCTTCTCCCGAACCCTGGCAGTCCACCCAAACGAGCAGCGCATCATCGTGCGACTTGCGCTGCCTCAAAACGCGACGGTTGGGTACACTGGGGGCGGAGGCTGGTCCTTTCGCGCTCGTTTCCTCGTATACACTACCGTCGGAACAGACTGAGCTTTCTGATTCCGAGCTTTGATATTTGTCACCCTCGAATCCCTCCTCGTAATGTGCACTCTTTCCGTTCGCATTATCGCTATCGTCCTCGTCATGCACGCTATCACTGTCCACATCTTCTCTATCACTCGAGTTTTCATCCACGTGTTCATTGCTCCCATTGCCACAAGCACTTGCGTCATCATGGTTCTCATTGTTCACTTCGTCACTAGCACTTGCTTCGTTATGGCACTCATTGTCCACATTGCCGCTACTCCTCTCCTCCTCAGCACTGGCCATATGTTCATTGGCTTCACCACTAATGCGTGTACCAACTTCACTAGCCGCATCCCCAATAACACCACTAACCAATCGGGTACCACGAGCTCCGTTGAATTTGTTCACAATTCGAACTTGACCGACGGCAGTATCGAGGTCTTGTTCGTGCTCAATAACTCGTAGTCGTTTCCGTGCAAAATCGCCCGTATGCGGAGTTGCCTCGATTGCGGTAGCCTCTCCACATGTAGGTACGTCGTCTTGGCTACACGCACTACACTCAACCGATGCCGATGTGGGTACAGTAGCCAGCCAGTAACAGTGATTCAGGTGAACAGTACTGACAGCACGATACTTCTCACGTTCTTGATACGTAGTCTTCAATTTGGGGTCTGAGTGCATGGCGTTACGAACGTAACTGCAGAGCGCTTGATCGGCGCTACGAACCCTCGTCACGCTGTCCGCAATGGCTGCGCTCACCTCAGCATCGGTGAACATTTTCATCTGTGTCGTAGCAGACCGCACATAAGCAGCCACATCACTAGAGATACCGACGACCCGCTGTCGGGCTGATGGAGACAGCTCTGACGCGATCTGCGCTCCCATGCATTCCACTATAGCCGCTGCCCGGCTCACAACGTCTTCAATCGCGCCCCCTCTAGTCGCTCGAGCGAGTGCGGTAACCTCGGCGGCGAGTACGGCACGCACCAGCTCCCCTCGGTACGTATCCAGCGCTTTATCCACAGTACTGTCCTGGTCGTTGGAGCTATTGCTGGCCTGCACTGCCGCCGAAGCTTCATGCACAACCTCCGGCGTCGATACGTCTGCACGCACCATCCGAGGGTATCGCGGACGGTCCTTGCGGCCATCCACGATGCCTTTTGGGTAGTCTTCCAGCGGGAAGGTGTCGTCAGCGTTGTTGAGAATGTACGTCTGTCGACGCGGCGGTTCTTCCGCCAGCCACAGCGAGCGCAAAGCTCTTCCTGCGCGAATTCGCAACCAGCCTTGTGCGGCTTTGTTCACTCCAGGTGCATCTTGGGCGGCTTGCTTCCGCGCAAACCGGGCAGCGCTGTCAGAGATCTCAGCGCCGGCTTCACCGGCATAAGCCCAGAAGCCTCTATGGCATCTCATCGGAGCTTGGTGCTTGTGCTGCAGAGCGGATATGCGGCTTTGACCTCTGTTCAGTCCAGATGCATGTGATTGGCTAAAATACAACTGGCTGTTATTACCCCCAGGTCCTCAGCTGGGCCCAATCACGTAGAGACCGGGTCCCGGCCGGACTCAGTCTGTGGCTGGGTTGATAACCCATCACTATCATGGACGGGAGGGACGAAAGAAGGGCGGGGATTGTATGGTCACTGTCGAAACGTATGCAGCGAGCTGCATGTTGCGGTCAATCGCCGCATGGCATCACAAAGCCCGACAATATGCGTCAGACACTGCGGCTCATTTTTGGATTTGCCGGAGAGCAAGACACGTGAAGAATAAGGTCTCACGTCGTTTCTAACGTTAACTGGTGACGTCCCGCCAGCATGCTTCACATTTTTTTTAATTTCTAGCCAACTCTACAGTATTGTAGCAACCTATCCAGGGCGGACTACCACCACGGTGGCTGCTGAGGCGGTTGGCTTGGAGATGAACAGACCTTTGATTCCTTCATGCCAGATGCACATGCACACATGTACTCACTGCCATCACTGTTGATCATTGGCCATCACCGTTGCCACTTTACCGCCGGTTGAGGCCGATTTCGACTTGCAATCGCTCAATCGTTGAAACGATTCGGTTGCCAATGGCACCAAGCGGAGATTTGCATCTAAGAACCCTGTGCTGCGCCAGTGCGAGCGTGCACTTTTCTTGCCTGTGGACGAACATGGCCGGCCAAAGCGTTGCTGTTGGCTTTGAAAGCAAGCAGAGATGACCCGGGACTCCGGCGGTCGCTGAAGGGTCTTTCGGTTGTGGTTGCGGGCACGCCAGGCCGTTGCGCTGTCTGCAAGTTGCATTCTGGCGGTAGCCGGTTGTTGAACATCATGTTCAACCGACACAAGCGATGGACTTCGCTTCCGAGCTCTCTCTCTACTACCGGCTGGAGTCCGTCCAGCCTGGACGACATTCCTTCGAGGAGGAGTTGGGGGACTGCACTGCCGCTCTTTGCATTGGACGCCAGGGTTTTAACACTTCGGTGGCCCTGCTGCAGCGCGAGGAAAAACGAGCTGGCGGCAAAGAAACCTCATCGAAAAAAATGGCGTGTCGCGAGATTTCGCGATGACAATTGACAATCACTCTGGCCAAAAGTTGCCTTTTACTGAGCCGAACTGAACTCTAGTAACTTAAATGAGTAGACTAACTTCAAGGTTGCCCACGCCCTCGCTCGAGGTCTCAAGACGCCGTCAACTTTTCACCTTGCCAGAAAGACCTGAAGATGCCGTCGTCGACGCTGTAGTGTAGATTCAACGAGAGGGTAGGCGGGCCTTGTACATTGGCAAGGGGACCAGTCCTTGTACGAATACCAAGTATTGAAGCTATTATACGGTGCTTCACTCTGCAATCACCATACCATTCAGCCGCAGGAGCTCGAACGCGAGAGTAATAGCTCCAACTTAATCCGCGTTGAGAGACTGCTAACGTATTTTGACGCATTTGCTCGTGATAAGTTGATCTGTCCCCGATGGATCTGTCTGCACGTCATCGCGTCAAACGAGGGTCTTCACTACCCCTCTGACGGATGCTCTGCGACTTAAGTTATTCCACCAGGCGTGTGCTTTTGAAAGCTAAACTGCACTGGAAAAGACGATGAAGACGTCGATCAATTTACTTGTCTTGTTTTCCTTTTCGCCTACTACGTAATATATAACACATGATCCGATCTGGTTTCGTATTCATCACCTAACTGCAGTAAGCCACCAGACTTCTCCTATAATCCTGTAGTTAGCTGATGTGAAGTGTTGCTCTCCTTCTCCTTCATATTCGCACGCTACAAAAGCAAAATCAAGAGAAAACTAATATTATAGCATTTGCTCGGAAAGCGCAACCTGGGTCATCGTCACAATGATGAAGCTCTTCTTTACCGTGTACTTTGAAGGTACTTTGAAGTACAAGGGTGGACCTTTCGTGATCAACTCAGATGTGGCTAGTGAGTTGCTCGTGTATCGATACTATCGATAGCCACAGCGCGGGTAGGTGCTTTGATACACATACAAACAAACCCTCACGTCGGGAAAATAACAACCAGCTCCGAAATACTTCAACATGCATTAGCCTCAAGCGTCATCTTTATTTTAATATGCGTAGCCCCGAACAACCTACAGAAGACACTCAAACCAAATCACCGGCTTGATGGCGTCGCGGAAGAAGCTGTTTCCGTTGAGGAACGCCGTGTCGGCGTGATTGCACTTGGACACGTAGAACTTGTCCTCGTAGCTGTCGCTGAACTGCGTGGCCGGGAGTCCGCCTCGGCAGCTTTCGAAAGTCACGATGCCGTCGTGTTCATCAGTGCCGTGCTCAATCTTGGCGCCAAGGAAGAGATACTCAGGCTGATACTTGGAAACCGTGCCGATGTTGTCGTTGCTGCACATGGCGGCCGACACGTGCTTGCGGTACACTTCCTGAGCAGCCACATACGCCTCGTTCAGCGCCATCGTGCTGTACTTGCCGCCCATGTACGCAATGGACTTCATGCCAGCGCCAACGGGGCACTTGCCCAGCAGCGTCAGGATCTTTCGGAACGCCTGCGTGTCGTCGTCCGTGCAAATGTCTTGCACATAGTTAGAAGCCATTGTGCCGTTCATGGGCGCGCTCATGCTGACCCACGTGGTGCTGTTGTCAATGCTGCACTTCTCGTTGGCGACCGCGCCCGCGAGCATCAAGGCGCCCATTGAGTGGGTCACAATGATGGTGTCCTTGATGGCGGTTGCGTCGCTCGAGTTGCTCATGGACAGCGCGTGCTTGCAGACCTTGTCCTGCAGCTTCCCGTTCGTCCAACGCACGTTCAAAGTGTCGAGGGACGCGTACTTGATGCTCGAGCAGCACGGCGCGTGGTCCGTCATGTCGCCGAAGCTGTCCGACTTGGTCTGCAGCTCGGCCTTCTCCACTTCGTTGCGCTCGCCGTGGATGAAGAGGCACGGGCGGGGCGTGGACTTGCACTCGCACCCGGTCGAGCCGAAGCCCCACTCCGCCTTAAGCTGTCGGTCATTCTGAGAGGTACCGGCGGACACCACCACAGCCAACAAGGCGAACGCCGTCGAGAGAGTTCGGCCCCACATCGTGATACCGCTACAGAGGAATGAACGAGACTGGTTCAAAACGAGGAATGGAGTTCCGAGCACACCAAGCCAGAGGGTCCAATCCCATGAACACGAACCCTGCAAAGCATGAAAGCGCCATCATGCTGTTTTATGGCAACACGAACGCATACAAACAGCAAGAGCACATCAACAAGAGTGGCGCAGATGGCGCGTTGGAAGGCGTTTGCTTCGGAACAGCAGCGGAAGCCGGCGTTCGGCGCGATGAGTTTCGCGAGAGCAACGAGATTACTGTAGGATAGGGAAGCACGGTGGAGCGTCGAGCGCCCCAGACTCTATCATAGGGGCCAGACGCCTTGGCGAAGTTCTTCTCGAGAGCCGATAAGAGAGGTCAGTATTTGATTGCTAAACCAATACATGTACAAAAACCAATACAGTACTGTATGCTCGTCGTTCGATTGCAACTTTCGGAGGTCCAGACCCGTTCAAGTGTCGATGAAACTCCAGTGGTGGGTGTGATGCACAACAAAAACCAGGCGACGGCGCAAACATGTTTGCGGTAGACCACTGCCTGGGCTGGAATAGCACCGGCATTTTGGTGGTCAAATACTGGAGATCACTTCGAGTACTGTACTGTGTGCCGCCACCGGTGCTTTTCACCGTAGCTGGCAGAGTGTCAGCAAGGTTGCCATTGCTTCTCCATGACTAGCATTCCTTGCGCTTCTCTGTCATTGCATCTATCCAATCAGGGCAAGTTCTTCAATGAATTTAGCCAATCACGATCGATTCGTGTGTATCCCAACATTTTCCCAATTATTTTGGGAATTTACAGTCTTGCTAGAATAATGTCCAATACAAAAGTTTAGTGTAATTGTTGCATTACTCATATTTGACCGCAAATTCCCAATACAAATCATGATTGTATCGTTGGTGGCTGTGACTCGTCTGCTTTCTCTCCTCTCCCATTTGAAAAGATGCAGCTGGCGCCGAGAGGGCTTGACATCGCGCAAGGGACAGCAGGGCAGGAGGCAGCGGCGATGAAGTGCTTCAGCGAATTCTTAGCTCTTGCTAACATGAATGAGGAGTCAATTGCTAGTATTGCGAAGTCGCTGTCTATTCCTGATGCTCGACCAAATCAAAACTTTTTACTCTTTGCTAACCGCCTTCTCCATTTTCTTGCAAACTAAGCCAAGTGCTCGAGGAGGCGGTCTTGCTAAGGCTACTGCTGTGGGCTATATGTCCCAAGTTGTGAACCTGCTCCGAGAGCGGTACCCTCTGTACTTGTCAGACAGCAAGCGAATTGCGAAAATACGCGACAAAATAGGTTCAACTATTGAGGAGCGAAATTTGCTAGCTGGCGTGCAGACTGGTGAAGCTCCAGTCTGCACGCTCAGCGACTTGCGTGTTCTGGTGCAGGAAACTGCGATTAAGGGGGTTGGCTCAGGTTATAAGAGTTTGCATAACGCTGCTGTACTAACGTTAATGTGGCACACGTTTGGTCGAGCGATCGATACCTGTTTTGCTAGGAAGAGCCAGCTATCTATGGCGGCATCGGAGGAGCTCTTTCTGCATCTAGCTCGAATCAAGACTTCGGTGGTTCAAGGCATCTCAATTTACAAGGCCGCGACCCACTGGGAGCAGTGTATGCTGCACGGCCTCGGAATGCTGTTCGTCGGAGCGTCGGAGCCTTCCAGCTATGTGTTCCCGCTAGTGCCGCACGCGGCGGCATCGGATTTGCCAGGGGAGAAGACCGACAGCCAAGACGAAGCTATACTCTACTGGGAGAAACTTGAAGAGAAAGCTGAACCAAGGAACGAGCCACCAACAAAGCACGTGAGAGGAAGGCCCAACGTATCCAAGTATATTAACGACGTCATCACCATGGTCTGCAAGCGCCAAGCCCAGGCCTCTGCCCCGCTGCCCCCGACGCTCACCGCACGGCTGAGCAGCCACTCCTTGCACCGCGGCTCCGCAGCGTATGCAAACGCCTCACCGCAGCTTGCGATCCAGTGGATCTCGACCCGGGGAGCTTGGCTGCTGGACTCGCTCACGAAGGCGTTCGCGTACGTGGGTACCACGACACGCGAGGACCAGAGTGTCGGCAAAGTCCTCGCTGGATACCGAGACCCGCACCTGCCATGCGTCACGCCCACGATTGCCACCTTGAGCGAGCTTCTTCCTGCGCTCGAGTACGCCCAGCTGCTAACCCTGCGCCGCCAGCTCTTCAAGAACGTCAGCGGCTTCACGGACACCACGCTCAACGTTGACGCCTTAGTCCTGGATGCGGTGCTCGCGTCCCTGCTCATCCATCTTGACAACGTCGCGACGGCAGTCCAGCAGGAGCAGGCTGCCACAGGCTTCACATCGCATTACCTGTACCGCTTCCCCGACGCTCTGGACGCAACCAACGTAGCGCTGGGAGCTCGGCTCTCGCTGGACACGTGCATTGGTTGGGGTCGGCAGCTTCGAACGGCTTGGCAAACGGAGAACTTCGGACAGCTGGGTGAACGCAGCAATGGAAACACCACCATACTTGCCGCAGCCGTCACCCAGATGCTATCGTCCATCGCAGCAATGCAGCGCACACTTCAGAAGCTCGTCGCGGTCCACGATAGCAAGTCCACCAGCGCTGACGGTCCTGCTCCTTGTCGCTGTGCTGGCCAGGCCCCGCAGGCGAGCACTGACACCGTCGTTGAAGCGCACTCTCTTGCTGGCTGCTTCTACAACTGGTACACACTGGAGCTGTGGCACGCGGCAACCCAAAAGAAACAACAGTTTGTTCGCGCTGACCTCAAGGCAGGCGTCAACATCATGATCATAGCAGCAGGGCGAGAGGTAAACGTACCAACGGCGCCACTGGACCGGGACGGCGTCGCGTATCGGCTGTGGAAGCAGCGTGTCTGGACGCTAGCGGAAGACTTGGACAAGAAGGTCTACGCTGCGCTTGGGAGTATCGACGGTAAAGGCCGATCCAAAACCGCGGGGTCGCTACGGAAGCGCTGGAGAAAGCTGCGCGTTGACCACCTCTCTGCGTACGACGCGCTCTGCTCAGCATTTATCACCCGCAAAGCGAACGGTGGCATCGTCGACCGCTGCACACCAGCTAGTCACCAATGGAAGCAAAAAGACTTGGAGTCGTAGGATCACGCAGCTTGTATTAACGCTTAATACATTCCTATTCATACAACATGGATAATCGAATTCAAAGCGCAAATGCACCCGTCATCGCCATCCTACAACTTAAGCACAGCGCATGGATTCCCGTCAGTCCCGATACAAAGTCATACACAATAGAAAAACGCTCACATACCGTCAGCGAGCGCGCTCGACCTCGTGCTTGGCCGACAGCTACCAAAACCGGCAACATAACACCCGCCCTGCCGGGTTTTGTAACTGCTTTCGACGGGTCCTTGCGTGGGGCGCGTGGGGCGCGCCTGGGGGCACTCGGGTCTGGGGTGGTCGGCGGGGGAGGCGTGCGGCACGCTTGGAGCGCGCTGTCGTGTTGGAGATGCGGGGCGGAAAGTGTGAAGGCGGAGAAGGCTGCGCAGCCGGCCAAAAATAAAACCTTAAGGTTTTTCTTGGCTTTGGAGTCGATAAACCAGTCCATACTTTGTTGAAGTCATTTGGAATCTCAGGCGCGGCGTATCAAACTCTATCGTCGCTCAAGCTGAAGACCGAGCGGAAGTCACAGCGTAGCGACGCCAGCAAAGCGCTCTCTAAGTTTGAGAGACGCTCCGCCCCCAATCGCAGGAAATGAAGCAAGTGTCGTTCCATTGCCCGTTTGAATCCGGCTTTGGCTCTGGGATCGGTTCCAGCTGGAGGATTCGCTGAGGTTGTTCGCTGTAGGTACATTGCTGTATCTTTGATTGAGATGCCCCTGGTTCAGGTCAGGGGAAACAAAGTAAAACTTGAGTTATAATACGCGTCGGTACATATCTGCATGCCGAGTACCCGTAGATGTCGTTACTCGCACCCGCTGTGTCTCCCTATCTGTTGCCACACAGATAACGCTGGCAATCCCACGAAACCCATCCGTCACGCAAAATGATAAATACTGTATGCGAGCTCAGGAGATTTCACGCTGGCGATCTCATCAGCACGAAGGAATCGTTTTGCGGAAAGCGCTCAGTAAAAATGTGGGTATGCTCGAGAACTGTTCTCCAGTAGATAGCGTTGGTGTCCTCAGTCTTCACTTGCACAACAACCTTTTAATAATGGTCTCAAAGTTCGAGGTTGCCAAACATTCAACGGAGACGCCCCTTTCCCTTCACTCACACACACGACATGGCATACACGTTGAAGTCAGCGGTCCAATACAAGCCCCCGGAGCGGATTGCTTTGACGTGGAGACCCACCGACCAACAATTTGGATACACGTATTAATACCAACTTGTCGATGCCCCACCGAGATTCTGACGACCGTCACGCGCTCTTGGTGGTCGCACGGCAACTTTATTGTGATGGAAAAAATACTGATCTGACACCGCGATTCCTTTAGCAGACTTCAACGTGATGCCACGTTGGCTGTGACCGAAGGAAAGCTACAGCAACGCCGTCTAATACAATGAATTTTGATGTCATTCTAAAGCAACCAGAAGAAGGAAACATGCAAAGTAAAGCGTCCGTTGTTGCGATTTATCTGTTCGCCGCTCTAGCCTCAGCTGCCACCTACGCGGATACTTCCCACGTTTCCCACCGAAGACTCGCTTCAAGCGCAGCACCTTGGAAGTCATGGAAGTCTTCGGTCAGTCCCAGTTCTACGCCTTCGCCAAGCCCGTCGTATCCTCCGACAACACCTTCATCCGCTACGACGGCTACGCTGCATTCGTTAGCGGCACCACGGAGCACACGTGGACGGCGTAGCGTACTACGTCACTGCTCCTATTAACGACTCGAGCTCCATCGAGACTGCACGGCGCCTGGATTCCAGTACGATTCCTCCGCTGAACTCCATCTTCACGTCACTCAACGACGCCACTCCGTCTCAGCAAGCGACGATAGCATCAACCGTTCAAGCGGTGACCTGTTTAAGGTTTCATTTGGTGGAGCTGACTTTGTTCGTCTGGGGCCTCGGGCTTCACCATTTACGGGAGCGACTTGGACATCGCCGTCGAGTACCTGGATAAACCTGTCGAGGTATCGGCGCCAACACTCGCTGCCGATGCTGCGGTGGTATGCGAAACTGTGGTCACTCCTCAATCCGTCACGTCGACGACCCTGGCATTGCTCACCGGGGGTGGCATTTCTAGTGACACCCGTAGGAAGCTGAAGGCCGAAGCGGGCGTGACGATCTCCTCGTCTTCGTGCTCGTGCAGCTCCACGCCGCGCCCGTGCATCTTCTTCCGTGGCATGGGCTCGACGACCGAGTACTCGACGCTGCAGACCACTTCCGACTACTGGGGCGACATTGAGAAACACGCGCCGTGCTGCTGGTCGTTCAGCTACGCGATCCTGAACACTGTCGACTACGCGTGGACAGACGCCACCCAGCAGAAGAAAGTGTGCGATTTCGCTCTCTCCGTCAGCTCGTCCAGCAGTAAATCGACCAAAGTTGTGGCAGACACAATCGTTGTCACGCACTCTATGAGCGGGCTGATGGTCGCTGGTGCTTTGGCCAATGCAGCGTGCATATTCGCATTCAGCACCACGTGGGTGAGCATGAGTCCGCCGATGGGCGGCAGTATGAGCTCCGACTAAGCCTGCAAGGCGCGTGCAGCGGTTCCTCGAAGTCGTCGCGACGCTAATCGGCCGTTGTCCTGCAGGCACCGCGTCGAAATCGTTGGCGTACGAAGGCGAATCTTACAGCATCACCGCACTCAATGAGGCATACAAGGCGGCGCAACAAGCGTACCGGTCGAACGTCGACGCAGCCTGCAGCGACAACTTGTCGCTGCACACGGCTGCGACAACTACTCGGGACTGCTCTCCACGGATACGATGGTAGTGCGTTCTACTTGACGGGACTCAACCATGCAGACACGACTTTCCGTCACGGCGACGCTCTCTTCGTCAACTCACAGAAACCCGTCAAGTGGTTCGAGTGTCTGCTCTAGTAAATGCAAATTCGAGCAAGTTTCATTGAATGTGATAGTGCTCAGAAGTCAACGGGCATAACTAAAGTAATGGCCCAAATAGCGAGCAAGGCTCTGGGTAGTCGACTCGTACGCAATGGGTTCCCCCGTGAGCAGGGCTAACGTCGTTGCTGTCACTGAGGAAGGCGTGACGATGGTCTGGCACTCGCGCGCCTCATCTTCGCTAATTGAAGGTGCTGCGATGGGGACGGGTGTGTCCATGTACTTGACGCTGATGTCCAGGTCGCTGCCGTAGACCACAAAGCCCGAGGAGCCCGACGCGCAGAGCACGAAGACTGCGTCACCCAATGTGATCTTGAACAGGTCTCCGCTCTTGCACGTGACCTCCTTATCGTCCACCGTCGCGCTCGAGATGGCAGTGGCTTCGTTCAGAGCTGGGATGACGTAGTCAAGGAGCACCAACGAGCTCGACATCGAGCACTCGGCGGTCACTGCACCGTCGGCTGTCGTCGTGATGAAGTAGGCGATGCCGGCGATCATCGAGATCGTGTGGTTCGTGCCGCCCTCCATGAACGTCGCGTACCCGTCGTAGCGCACGGTGGACTTGTCTGCAGACACGACCGGGTTGGCCAAGACGTCGAACTCGAGCTGGCCGTACATGCTCATGGAGGCGCGCTTGAGCTTGAAGTGGATCCGCAGCGACCGTGCGTCGTCAAGCGTCGAATCGAGGCGTCGACGCGCGCTTTGGCCAGTTGCGGAGCTTGAAACGGCCGCGAACGCGAGCACCACGAGCAAGCCGAGTGCCAGTAGGCGAGGAGATGGCACGGAGCGCCACATGAGGCAACAGCGGTGGGCGTTGAGGGAGGAGCTACGGAGACGTGTTCCTTATCTCGCGAAAAACTCGAAGTGAGCGAGTGAGACCGCGGTCGGCGCAGCGCCGCATCTTGGGTAGCATTCTGCATGGGGAGGATCTGCTGGGCTCGAGCGTGTTGCACTTGGTGTCCCCCATCAACTCGCACGCAGCTGCCGTGACTGGATGGCAACCAGTCATGCTCTGGTGACAGAGGTGGCGCCGGGAAGGAGGAGATGACACCGGCAGATTCTGCCTGCTGCCGCAGAAGGATCCGAATGACATGGGCGGGTGCAATGACATCCAGCCAGCGGGCTGTCAGTCATCGGCGTCAAGAATCGAGGCCTGCTCGCGTGATGGCTGACACCGTGACGATCTTTCTGACAGCTTCTAGGTGATGGGACTGCAACACCGACACGTTGAAGCTGCTCGAAGCAAGCAAAGGATCTTTGGGCGCGAGATTCTAGGGAATCAAGTTCAGCTAACACTGCCACGTTCACGCCAACGTTGGCGCCTGCAACCCACGCCTTGAACGGCAGCATTTTCACGACGGACGTGATGCTCCAAAGATTTCCCGAAAGCGCATCGCCCGTGGACACACCCGGTGTTTGACGCCGCCTGTGAAGCGAAGGTGGCGTCCAACACAGGACGCGAAGGGAGCCGCTACTTGCGGCATGCTAGGAATTTGCAACAGTGTACAGTACGATAGTAGCGATGGCTTTGATCGTGATGTTCATGATACTCCGCGGACTCGAACGCGCTAAGAACCTGCACACCTTAGTTGTGCAAATAATGCCGAGTACTTCAACCACCACCAGAGTGGGGGCCCTGCCTTGTTGAAGTGCTCGATTTCGGTGTAAAACGAGCCACGGCCTGGTAGCACAGCGGTCCACCGCTGGCGGCTAATAGTGCACGTACGCGATATCAGTGCGAGTCGCACTCTAGCTGGCACAACAGAATTTGGGGCTCAGTCGACGTGCTGAATGGGCATGGATCGCGGACTTTGAGGCAAAGCTACCAGGAAACTTCAAGGATACGCAAACGGCTCGAGGAGGACGTTTAACTTCAACGCGAAGCAGCACTTGGTAAGCCGCCCGGGCTTTCACCGACCTGCAAGCGTTGCTGTACAAGGCGCACTGCAAAAAGTTGAAAAACAGGAGAAAGTTGCTCTCTCGACAAGAGTTCAACAAAAAAGTCCATCCTCCTGTTACGCAGGAGATCAAGCTTGAGGCGTGACGATGCCTGAGCCGATGATGGTCCGGAAACGCTGGCATTGCCGACTCAGTGCTATTGCGGACAGCTACTCTTTCTTCACAGTTGCAATACGCCCGTCGTCCTCAAATCTGGACGTTCTCCCATCATCTTACATGCATGAAAATGCAGCATCTAGGAATTGATATCAGTGCAAGTAATTAGTAAAAGCGTGGTGCTGCAGTTAATAACCATCGGTTTGAAGGTCTCGCTGTTAGAAATGGCCGCCACCGATTTGTGTGCCACTCTTGGCGCCAGAAATGTACCGACAGCCCGCTACATCATGTAGCCTACATGCATGTCATTCATTGCCCTCCAGTGCTGTCATGACATCGTGCATCCACTTCGGCTAACTACCTTTGGGCTTAGAGAGCGGCACGCGCAGCCCTACGCCATGCCCCTTTCACGGCGCAAAACTGCAAGTCCGTCAAATCATCGACATCGGTGTCCAGCTTGTTTGACGCCGCTAGCCAAGACGCCGACTCAAGACCTCACTTTCCAACTTGCCTCGTGCGGCACCAACCAGCCCAACACCAGCTCAAGAACTTATCGCAATGTGGGCTCTCAAGTCGCCGCACCGGTTCCTCACCGCCGTCTTCGTCGCGCTGCTCGCAATCGCAGCCATCACCACTGCGTCCGCCGATGACCACGCCCAACGCCGTCTAGCTACGAGTCTTGGCGACGCGCCGTCACTGCGACTTCAATTCACGCTCAAGCGCGACTCCATGAAAATCTACGGCCAGTCCCAGTTCTACGTCTTCGCCAACCCGGTAGTGTCCTCCGACAACACTTCCGTTCTTTACGACGGCTACGCTGCGTTCATGGACGGCTCCACGGACTACACGTTGAGCCTTGTGAACGGCATCGCGTACTTTGTGACTTCGACGGTGGGCGACTCGAGCTCGCAGTCGGCACAGTGTCTGTCGTCGAGCCTCCTTCCACCGATCAACTCCATCGTGTCGGCACTCAACGGCGCCACGGCCATTGCTGGTGCGTCTGCAGGCAACGACACCATTACGTGCGCGACCGGAGACCTGTTCCAAGCCACGCTCGGTGACGCGACCTTCGTGATCTGCTCGGCTGGCTCGGACGGCTTCACCATCTACGGCAGTGACCTGGACATCAGCGTCGAGTACCTCGACAGTCCTGTGGCGATCACCGCGCCCACGCTGAGCGGTGACGCAGCTCTTTCGTGCGAGACGGTGGTCACTCCTACTACGGTCACGCCGACGACGCTTGCTCTGCTCACAGGCGAGGCCGTGTCCTCGTCTAGCAGTCGCAAGCTGAAGGCTGAGGCTACTACGACGCTGGCCTCGTCGTCTTGCAGTTGCAAGTCCACCCGTCGTCCGTGCATTTTCTTCCACGGCCTGGGCTCCGACACGGAACAGACGACGCTGCAGACGTCTTCGAGCTACTTTGGTGATCTCTCAAAGAACGCGCCGTGCTGCAGCTCGATCAAGTACGCTGTACTTAACACCGTGAAGACCCCGTGGACCGACGCGACGCAGCAGCAGAAGGTGTGCAACTTCGCTCTCTCCGTCAGCAGCACAAGCAGCACCTCGTCCAAGACCATTGCGGACACGATCATTGTGACGCATTCGATGGGTGGACTCATGATGGCAGGAGCGTTGGCCAACAACCGATGCAAGTTTGCGTCGAGCACGACCTGGGTGAGTCTGAGTGCTCCTATGACCGGAAGCATGGGCTCGGACTACCTTCAGAACGCATGCAGTGGCAGCAACGTGTTCCTTCAGGCTGTGGCGAACCTCGTTGGTCAGTGCCCGGCCAGCAACGCGGTCGTGGGGATGTCCTACCAGTCCGAGTCGCACAGCACGTCGGCGCTGAACTCTGCGTACACGGCTGCCCAGACCGCGTTCCGGGCGAACGTCGACGCTGCAATGTGCAGCGACAACTACTCGGGGCTACTATCTACGGATCAAATTGTATACAAGCTGGGAGGCTCTCTGATTCCCCACAAGTCGGATGAGAACGATGGCATCGTCGAGTACAAGAGCTGCGCCGGGGGACTCTCCACCTCCAAGTTCGGCAACAAGTACGACGACACGTTCTACCTGACGGGTCTCAACCACGCCGACACGGCCTTCCGCCACGGCGACGCTCTGGTCGTGAACTCGCAGAAGCCCGTCAAGTGGTTCGAGTGTCTGTTGTAAGCGTTGCTCGTTTTTCACCTTTCCTCGACTAAAAGGTGACTAAAAAGCAACAAGGTCTTGTCTTTTGGGTTTTCAAACATTTGTAGTGCCCCCTTCGTACACCGAAAAAATATCCTTGAAGTTGAAGTTGGTCCCACTGTTGTGATGGTTCAAGTTTTGTAGGTTCGGTAGTCGCTAGATGTGCCGAAGGAGACCTCGCACGGAATGATTTGGGCGTATACTTGCGCAATTTGCCGTGCAACTAAGGACTAGAGCTGTCGACGTCGAGGGTTTTGACGTTGACCCGACGTCTTTTTCTGTCGACGTCCGTGGGTGTCAGCCGACGTCGAGCCGACACACGCCGACATCCTCCGCTCGACTTTCTGCTGATTGGTCAAAAGGAGTTTTGGTGAAGCCAATGAAATCGCCTGACCTCAGACGTGCCCATTGCCTCAATCAACTTGTACCCGCGACTCAAACAAACAGCCAAGTCCGATAATGATTTTCACTTGGAAGAGCTCCGCTATCGAATGATGTAGAGTCTACACCTTTGGTCTACACTGTAGACCAGGTAGCAGCGAGTCTGCCTGAACGATGGGATGCCCATGCCCCGGATGAACTACAAAATAAGGGGTGGACGCTGATTCAAGCTGAGTAGCTTGCATGAGGCGCCCTAGCAAGTGTTGACTGCGCTCAGACAGCGACTTGAGTATCAGCGCCAGCCATGTTGTCAAAGGCGTCGTCTCCGGCTGGGCCGAATACACCAGACCATGACGCGCCTTCAATGGTTCCTTTGTCGTCTGGGAGTTGCGCAACTGCATACATCTCTAGATCCAATTACGAGGTTAACTGAGTGGAACACGGGCTCACATGTAGGTCATCGCAAGCATTAACGTCGGCAGTGTTTGTACTCGATCCTATTGCGATCTATAGTGGAGAAGTTGCCCCTCTAAGTTTCACCGAGACACTATTTACTAACAGAGTACGTTATGTGTATGTACTCACGTCCCTCAATGAGGCTAAGGCAGGGTGCGCCACCTCGCGCTGTGTAAGGATCCTATTTCGCAATAGTGATATCCTTTTGGATGTCGACTGGGTGTCGGCTCGACGTCCCTCGACGACTTTTGGACGTCCGGGTGTTAGCCGGAGCGACGACCCGACGTCGACAGTTCTACTAAGGACACCCAACGCTTGCTTGCTTGAGCGGGCGATGGCCCATCGCCGATGAGCGAGCGGGAAATCTTCATTTCCAGATATTCCCACGTGAAATGCTGCCGTTAGCACCCTCCATCAACCCTCGGTGCAAAAGCCGCAACCAAGGATTTGTACGTGTAGTTAGTTGTGATACAGTGTATATTCACGCAGCCATCCGCGTTTAACGCGTCTATCGCTCAATGCCATTGCACTGACTGAGGACTGAGAGCCGTCCTATTTGGCCTCGATAACGAATCGTTCTTAACGATACCTGAAAGGATCGTACTGTACTGTAAAACAACGCGAGTACTGAGGCATGGTTTTGACCGACAACCCGCTGGATGCATGTCATTAGGACCAATTCCTCCCTACTGTATGTGACCGACGCACATGCAGCTCTATCCAAGCTATCCGCTATCCCTTCGACTCCTTGTGATCATGCAACCATCGCAACTGCGAGTGCTCTCCTTCAAGACGGAGAGTAATACGCATGCCACCACACGAGGCGCACCTCTCACGGCGTCAACGGCTTACAAGTGCAAGGTCTTAAGACGTACCAGCACTCTCCGCTGGCAATGAACTCGCGACTTGCCCCGCTTCATTCGTCATTCTCCAAATTCCATCGCGGCAACCAAGCCAGCCCAACACCAGCTCAAGAACCTACTGCAATGTGGAACCTCAAGTCGCCGCATCGGTTCCTCGCCGCCGTCTTCTTCGCGCTGCTCGCAATCGCAGCCATCACCACTGCGTCTGCGGATGACCAAGCTCATCGTCGACTGGTCACCAGCCTTGGCGACGCGCCATCACTGCGACTTCAATTCACGCTCAAGCGCGACTCCATGAAAATCTACGGCCAGTCCCAGTTCTACGTCTTCGCCAACCCGGTAGTGTCCTCCGACAACACTTCCGTTCTTTACGACGGCTACGCTGCGTTCATGGACGGCTCCACGGACTACACGTTGAGCCTTGTGAACGGCATCGCGTACTTTGTGACTTCGACGGTGGGCGACTCGAGCTCGCAGTCGGCACAGTGTCTGTCGTCGAGCCTCCTTCCACCGATCAACTCCATCGTGTCGGCACTCAACGGCGCCACGGCCATTGCTGGTGCGTCTGCAGGCAACGACACCATTACGTGCGCGACCGGAGACCTGTTCCAAGCCACGCTCGGTGACGCGACCTTCGTGATCTGCTCGGCTGGCTCGGACGGCTTCACCATCTACGGCAGTGACCTGGACATCAGCGTCGAGTACCTCGACAGTCCTGTGGCGATCACCGCGCCCACGCTGAGCGGTGACGCAGCTCTTTCGTGCGAGACGGTGGTCACTCCTACTACGGTCACGCCGACGACGCTTGCTCTGCTCACAGGCGAGGCCGTGTCCTCGTCTAGCAGTCGCAAGCTGAAGGCTGAGGCTACTACGACGCTGGCCTCGTCGTCTTGCAGTTGCAAGTCGACCCCACGTCCGTGCATCTTCTTCCACGGCCTGGGCTCCGACACCGAGGAGACCACCCTGCAGACGACGTCCAGCTACTTCGGAGACCTGACTGACAGCGCTCCGTGCTGCACATCCATCCAGTACGCCGCCTTGAACACCGTCGACTACGCTTGGACGGACGCGACGCTGCAGCAGAAGGTGTGCAACTTCGCCATCTCCGTGAGCAGCACGAGCAGTTCGTCATCAAAAACGATCGCGGATACGATCGTGGTCACGCACTCGATGGGCGGCCTCATGATGGCCGGCGCCATCGCAAACAGTCGTTGCAGCCTGGCCTCGAGCAGTACGTGGGTGAGTCTGAGCGCGCCGATGACGGGGAGTATGGGCGCGGACTACCTTGAGGGCGCGTGCGCCGGCAGCAACGTGTTCCTGCAAGCCGTGGCCAACTTGATTGGAGAGTGTCCAGCCAGCACCGCTGTTGTCGCTCTCTCGTACGAGGGCGCGACTTACAGCACGTCAGCGCTGAACACGGCCTATGTTGCTGCTCAGTCGGCGTTCCGGTCGAACGTCGATGCTGCGATCTGTAGTGACAACTACTCGGGCCTGCTTTCAGTTTACCAAGCGGAGTATATTTTGGCTGGTGAAGTGATCCCGCACAAATCCAGTGAGAACGACGGAGTCGTGGAGTACCAAAGCTGCGCTGGGGGTCTGTCCACGTCCAAGTTCGGCACTACCTACGACGACACCTTTTATTTGACGGGGCTCAACCACATCGACACCACCTTCCGCAATGGCGACTCGCTGGTTACGAACTCGAAGAAGCCGGTCAAGTGGTTTGAGTGTTTGTTGTAAGCTGCGTTCGGCACGAGGAGCGTAGCCTTTTAATGTTCCAGTCAATCATCAAGTGCTTCCTACATTCCCTTGGTTATACATGCAGGTGCTCTAAGCGGTGCTGCTTTTGCCATAATGGACTCGAACATTTGGAGGGGATATTTTCTGTTTAATACGCACAATGATATTTTCAGGAAAACTCAACGCATTTGGCGATCGGCATTTGAAGTGGGAGGGCAACGACTTCGATAAGACTGCAAACGGAGCACTCGGCCATCGACGATGCGAGTCGATCGGAACTCGATTTTAGTTTCTCGGATGCGGACTTCAATGATAGGCATGCATCGTAAAATAACCATAGAAAGCCCACACTTCCAACCAACATAGCACATCACCGTGGATGATTCAATCGCTCCACCTTCCTCCTGTCGGGCGGATCAAGTGATTGACGACGGGTACTCTTGAGTCATGATACAGTCTCCCTACGACATTGTACGCCTCATGGTAAATAGTGTTGTCCCAACCAAATCTGGCGGCAGATTGCTGGCGGCTCAAAGCAGGGCAGGGGCCATTATCTTGTTGTTGGGAACAACTTGTTGCAGTGGAAGGATAGGGGCACTTGCCCATCCGATGAGCTGTCAGAAAACGATCATAGTGATACCACTCGAGTCACGCAAACTCATCACGTTGAAGTGAGTCATTATATCCCTTTGCCAGTGTCACCTCCTTTCCCGGATGTGCTAGGAAGCGCCGAGAAGCGGTCTCCATCTCTGTCACCAAAGTATACAATCCAACCATCACAGCTGAAGGAATGATCGAGTATTGGCAAGCCATGCCCTTGCCGCAAGGGGAACGCCCTCACTGCCAAGAGCAACCGCATCAAACTCGCTAATCGCACCAACCTGTTGCCAATCCTTCACTTTCCAAATTGCATCGCAGCGAGCAAACCAGCCCAACACCAGCTCAAGAACTTATCGCAATGTGGGCTCTCAAGTCGCCGCACCGGTTCCTCACCGCCGTCTTCGTCGCGCTGCTCGCAATCGCAGCCATCACCACTGCGTCCGCCGATGACCACGCCCAACGCCGTCTAGCTACGAGTCTTGGCGACGCGCCGTCACTGCGACTTCAATTCACGCTCAAGCGCGACTCCATGAAAATCTACGGCCAGTCCCAGTTCTACGTCTTCGCCAACCCGGTAGTGTCCTCCGACAACACTTCCGTTCTTTACGACGGCTACGCTGCGTTCATGGACGGCTCCACGGACTACACGTTGAGCCTTGTGAACGGCATCGCGTACTTTGTGACGTCGACGTGGGCGACTCGAGCTCGCAGTCGGCACAGTGTCTGTCGTCGAGCCTCCTTCCACCGATCAACTCCATCGTGTCGGCACTCAACGGCGCCACGGCCATTGCTGGTGCGTCTGCAGGCAACGACACCATTACGTGCGCGACCGGAGACCTGTTCCAAGCCACGCTCGGTGACGCGACCTTCGTGATCTGCTCGGCTGGCTCGGACGGCTTCACCATCTACGGCAGTGACCTGGACATCAGCGTCGAGTACCTCGACAGTCCTGTGGCGATCACCGCGCCCACGCTGAGCGGTGACGCAGCTCTTTCGTGCGAGACGGTGGTCACTCCTACTACGGTCACGCCGACGACGCTTGCTCTGCTCACAGGCGAGGCCGTGTCCTCGTCTAGCAGTCGCAAGCTGAAGGCTGAGGCTACTACGACGCTGGCCTCGTCGTCTTGCAGTTGCAAGTCGACCCCACGTCCGTGCATCTTCTTCCACGGCCTGGGCTCCGACACCGAGGAGACCACCCTGCAGACGACGTCCAGCTACTTCGGAGACCTGACTGACAGCGCTCCGTGCTGCACATCCATCCAGTACGCCGTCTTGAACACCGTCGACTACGCTTGGACGGACGCGACGCTGCAGCAGAAGGTGTGCAACTTCGCCATCTCCGTGAGCAGCACGAGCAGTTCGTCATCAAAAACGATCGCGGATACGATCGTGGTCACGCACTCGATGGGCGGCCTCATGATGGCCGGCGCCATCGCAAACAGTCGTTGCAGCCTGGCCTCGAGCAGTACGTGGGTGAGTCTGAGCGCGCCGATGACGGGGAGTATGGGCGCGGACTACCTTCAGAACGCGTGCAGTGGCAGCAATGTGTTCCTCGAGGCGATTGCAAACCTGATCGGTGAATGCCCCGCCAGCACCGCTGTGGTGGGGCTTTCGTACGAGGACGAGACCTACAGCACGTCAGCGCTGAACACGGCCTATGTTGCTGCTCAGTCGGCGTTCCGGTCGAACGTCGATGCTGCGATCTGTAGTGACAACTACTCGGGCCTGCTTTCAGTTTACCAAGCGGAGTATATATTGGCTGGTGAAGTGATCCCGCACAAATCCAGTGAGAACGACGGAGTCGTGGAGTACCAAAGCTGCGCTGGGGGTCTGTCCACGTCCAAGTTCGGCACCTACGACGACACCTACTACTTGACGGGGCTCAATCATATCGATACCACCTTCCGCAATGGCGACGCGCTCATCGTGAACTCGCAGAAGCCCGTCAAGTGGTTCGAGTGCCTGCTGTAAAAAGGGGAACGTTGAAACTGAAATTGTGCTCACAAAAAGGTACACCCAATATTGTGCTGTCACAAAAAATGTACCCAAGAGCCTAAGAGTCAGTGTACCGGTATTATCGGTTTTGTGTAGCTACAAACAGTATACCCATCACCCAAAATATCCGTTCTGTGTGGTCACAAATTTGACTAGTGGTTTGTATAGTTTCGATCGCACAAAATATATTTGGGATTTGTTCCCAGCAGTGTTTCAAAATGAGAGCGTTTTACCATAATGTGATACAAGTTGAACGCGGTTAATGCGTCTCCCGCACCCCAAAGAGCAACTTGAGCCAAAAAAATGTAATGCGAGCCAAATCCCTATTTGAAAGGTGGCTCAGGATCCCCGAGCTACACTGAAGCTGCAACCTAAGCCACTGAAAAATATGACTTTAACTCAGTACATGAGATCGCTTGATCTCATGTACTGATCATTATCGAACCATGGCGGCGGCGGCGCTGAGCGGATCCAGCTTCGTGCCGCTGTGCACGAGCTCCGAGGGCTCGGACGGCCGCGGCCTGCGGCTACACAACGCTGGCGTCGACGTCCTCAATGGGGCGAAGCTGGCGGCGCGCAAGATCGCGCTCGTGGGCGTGCTGAACGTGGCGGAGGACGAGAAGACGGAGCCGGAGCGCGGCCTGTTCCTGAGCTCCAGCGCCGCGTCCGTGGCCGAGCAGGACGCCAGCATGCTGCTGCTCGTGCTGCGCGGCGTCTCTCTAGCCGACGAGCCGTTCTGGGGCTCGCTGCTGTTCGTGCTGAGCTCGCACGTGGTGGTGAGCAAGGCCGGCCCCACCTCCAGCGCCAGCTTCCAGGCCGCGCTGCCGTTCCTGCCGGACTTTACCAAGCTGCAGGTGGCCGAAGGGTCTGTTGATGGGGACAGGAACGCCGCGCTGCTCAAGGAGCTGGCGCCGCGCTTCACGTGGGGCGCGGTGGACCTCAAGATCAAGGACATGAACGGCTGCGACTCGGCGTCGACGTACTTCGAGCAGCAGCTGGCCGCGGGATCCACGGACGCGCAGCAGCTGCTGAGTGCTCTAGTGCCAGTGAGAGACGCTGTGGTGCTCAAGTCCAACTCATTCCAGGCGCCGGAGGAGCCGCACTCGTCCCCCAAGCTGCTGACGCACGTGGCCGACCGACTCGAGTGCAAATCCTTCTTCGGACGCTATATGAGCGGGGCGCTGCTGGTGAGACTCATCCGGTCGTTGATCCATGCAATGGCCATGCCGGACGGATCCCCCGTAGTGCTTCAACGCGTCGTAACCAACGTGTTCGTCGCGCACTGGCAGGAACTGGTGCAGCGCGCGTTCAAGGCGTACTGCGACCTGCTGCACGCGCGGCTGGCGGTGTACGAGCGCGCGCCGATTACGGCCGAGTACCTTGTCGATGTTACGGAGAGGAAGCTGAAGGCGAACCAGGCTCAGGACAACAAGCACTCGGCCGTCGTGAACGCTGGCCAGGGGAACTTTTCGGTCTTCGACGAGTTCGGCAACTTAAAGAAGCAACAGGTATCCGAGGACGGCGCGGAGGATAGTATGGTGGCAGCGACAACCCCGGCGCCGCTAAACACTGGACTATTTAGCTTCCTGAAGAACAGAGCTGGCCGTGCCCTCAGCAAGCAGCTCTCGCGGTTCCCTACTAACCGGTGGAGCACGTCGATTAAAGCTGGAGGACAAGCAACTGCTCAGGGTGACAGCGGTGGACTTGGTGGGATCCTGGAAGACGTAGAAGCAGCGGAAGCAGAATTACGGGAAGAGGCAAACGCAGCGCAATCGCCTGATCTGCTGCTGGCGCGATGCACTGCAAGCATTACGCGCTACTCAGTGCCGATGGAATACCTGAACACACCCAGTGAGGCCATGCCTGTAAACACATCGGTGTTAGACACAATGCACGCCGAAGGGCTGGAGGAAGTGAACGCTTTGCTGAAGCCGTTTCTCGTGGATCTGCGCGGCCCCATGCCTTCAAGTCCTGAGCTTGCTTGCTCGCTGGATTTTCATGTCGGAAAGAAAAACTTGTGGGCGAAGTTGGTCCGCGTCCGGAGGCGCTTCGAGCGCGCCAATGAAGTGTCCTCGGCAATCTTTTGCGGCGAGCTGCTGCGTTATCTGCACTCTGTAGTGCTCCGCAAGAACGAAACAGACACCGAGGATCAACAACAGCAGCAGCAACTTCGAGGTCGCGCTGTCTCGTCGATCATGCTGGTGGACAAGAAGAGCGGAAACGCGCCTGTTGCCCTCACGCGGGTGCCGTTGGAGTTGCTGACGTACAAGAACAACCTGGAGGCAATGGTGTCGCAGTACAATTTCGTGGCCCGTGGCCCTCAAGCTGCTACAGTGCTCGCAGGCTTCCTCAACGGACCAGTGCGCCGCCAGCTTCAACACTTGACGGAGCAAGAGTACGACCGATTCACTGCAGCCTGCGATGAGAAGGAGCGTCGCATCAAGGAGTTGGAGGAGTCGCTGGAGGACAAAGAGCGCCAGGTGAAGCACATCACGAAAGCAAACGCAGAGTGGGGTCGTCAAGAACGCGAGGCTGTTGCCAACATCGAGCAGGGTCATGCCGAGCAAGTGAGCTCGCTTCAAGACTCAATTCGGAGCACGGAAGCTAAGATCGAGGGTGCGCTAGCAGAACAGCAGGCTTTGTACCAAAGCACCATGCAGGCTACGCGGCGAACAATCGACACAGTGGACAAGGTGGCCGACAAGGGCCGCATCGTGTCCGGCTACTTGGAGCGCTACGAGAAGGCCCACGTGTTCTCGTCGCGGTGGCGCCAGTACTTCTATGTTCTGAAGCACGCAACACTCACGTGCTACAAGTCCAAGAGCGAGTATGAGGAGCGAGGACCCCCGTTCGAGCGGCCGATTAGCATCAGTGGATACAAGGTCGTCCAAAGCCGCACCGATGAACTCAAGATCAAGCTGGTCCCCCCCGAGGCGGGCCACCAAATGCTTCGCTTCCGTGCACCTGCCAGCGTGGGTCGCGAGACGTGGATGAAGCGGTTCGCTGAGGCCACGCAATATTCCGGTCAATAAGTGCCCAAGAAACACAATCCGGAGCTGTCGTCAAGGCAAGACAAAGTCAGTATCGCAAACGAAAGTAACTTGTGAAAGTCCGTTCGTTGGTTGGTTGGGCCGTATCCTCCCTCATCTAAGCTGCAGTGGTTTGCCAAGTGAGGCCTGAAATTCTTCCGTCTCTTTGGCGCGATCTTCACTTTGCTTCGTAGCTGCTAGTCCAGGCATGTTTTCAAAGGAGAAACGGGAGCGAGCAGGCCCCTCAAAGAAGAAATCGTGCACAAGGGCCTAAACAACGACAACATCACCCGTTAGCAAGCTCATGACCACAATTGTGTACAGGTAACGGCACCTGTCGAGCTGATAGCCGTTTGCTTGGATCGAGCACAAGGAGCTTGGACAACAGATCCACTGCAGAAGCCTGAGCATCTGGGAAGAGCTTGCTGAGAGCCATCGGATCATAGGGTGGGAAGGAGACCTTGTTGAAGTCGGGCAGCTCGCACACGCCCGGCCACTGCTTCTCGATGTCTCCTAGCACCTGCACGACTCGGAAGATCTGGTCAATGTCGTTCTGGCCAGCGAACAACGGGGTAGGCCGCAACAACTCGGCGAAGATGGTGCCGACAGCCCACATGTCCACGGCGGTGTCGTAATGTCTGGCGCCAAATAGCAGCTCCGGCGCCCGATACCAGCGCGTGGCCACTTGGTGCGAGTACGAGCGCCCTTCCCGCCCAACGAAGACGGTAGCGAGTCCGAAGTCGCTGAGTTTGAGCACTCCGTCGGCACTCAGCAACAAGTTGCCGGGCTTCAGGTCTCGATGGAGAATGTTGTGCTCGTGACAGCAAGCGACGCCGTGTAGCAGCATCCGCAGGAGACCGCGGACATCGGCAGGGTGGAGGGGTTCCAGTCGATTACGGACAACACTGAGGAGGTCGGTGGACATGTACTCGAGCACCAGAGCGATGTAGCTGCCGTCCGACACGACATCCAGCAGCTTGACGATCTGCAGCAGCACAAACAGTAAGTTTGAGGACAAGAAGATCTCTCGACGTATCCATCCATACATTGGGATGCTGGAGCTGGCGCATGGCCTCGATCTCCTGGAACTGGGCGGCCGGCACGACCGAGAGCTGGCCGTCGTCATTCACCCGAAGCCGCTTGATAGCTCGAACCTCGCCCGACTGCAGGTCCTTGGCCCGATGGACCTCTCCGAAGGCCCCGTTGCCGATCTTCTCCAGCAGTTCGTAGCGACTCGCGAGCATCCTGGAGGGAGAGGCCTGTGACGATTAGGATCAAACAAAAAGATACTTTTACTTGATTGACGAGACACCGGACCGGCAAGACTCACGGCATGTGGGCACAAGCGACCTGGAATATTCATTCTTGCATCCCTCCCCTCTCTCTGAGAGGGGGTGCAGCTTAAATGACGCCTCTGCTAAAAAGTATGAGAAGTAAAAGAATACACTGGCAAGGACGGCGAGCGCTCCGTGGGTTCTGTTTCTTGTCGCTCTCAACTCCTACGACTCGCTCACTAACCCCGAGCCGCAGCTCCGTCGTCGCGTGCCTGCTGGACACCTTCGCTGACCTGTCTGCGATTTAACTGCTTAGTGGTTGTTCTTCCACACCAGGTACCGCGTGTCGCCCAGCTTACGCGGACTCAGCTTGTGCTTGGCGAAGAAGAGGATGGCCAGCACCATGCAGAGCGCACCCACGATGATGTACGCGATGCCGAGGAACGGGTTGCGGCCGCCGAACCATGATGTGGTCGAGATCACGATAGACTTCTTGCCCTCGAAAGTGCTCACCACGAAGTCTGCCAAGTCACAAACAAACCACTCAGTTAGATACCGTCCTCTGCACTTGGAACAAGCCAAGAAATCAATACAAAAACGTACTGCTGGAGACGAGGAACTCGATCTCCGTGCCCTCTGCCAGATCTGTGTCAATGCGGCCGTAGAGCTTGCGGAAGCTCGGCAGACCGGCCGTGCGCATCCAGACGATAAAGTGCTCGTCCTGCACGCCGTACGCAGGCGCAGCCGTCGTCCACGCCGTCTTGTTGGCGATCGCCTCCTGGCCCTCGTACATGGGGATGATGTAGCGGTAGCGCGGGTTCTGCCACAGCATCATCGTGTTGTCCGCGTCCGACAGGTCCGCCAGGTCGATGTTCTTGAACTTGGTCTCGACGTCCGACTTCCAGGCGATGCCCGTCTGGTCCACGAGATTCACGAGCGTCTTGCCGTTGTACGTGTCGTCCTGGTAGTACGTCTTGCCGTCGGCCACGAGCTTGTTGACCCAGAAAATGTCGTTGAAGAGGCTGTTGGCGATGAGGCCGCAGGGCATCAGCGTGTAGTCCGTCTCGTTGTCGCCGATGGCCTTCTCCGCCGTCGAGTTGTACTTGTACATGCCCGTGCCGGACTTGGTCAGCGGCGAGCAGTCGCTCGTGCTGGCCGTGGCATCTCCGCGGAGCTGCGCGTCGCTGCGGCTCTGCACGTAGCGGCGGTGGTTCTGGTAGAAGTTGTCCAGCTGGTAGTAGAGGTACACGGGCGCCTTCATCTCCTTCTCGATCGTGAACTTGATCCTACAGCCGTGCGTGTCCACGTCGAACGAGTCGCCGTCGCTCTCGTCCTCGAGGTAGCAGCCGCTGCCCAAGTCCACGATGTTGGACGATTTCTCCACGCCGTCTCCGTCGTACTGGATCGAGTACTCCACCACCTACAGCCCGCAGCCAGCCAGCAATGCATAAGTACATAGGATACACACAATGGCAGAGACGTAGACAGAGATAATGGACGTACATTGTCCGACTCGGTGTGCAGCACGATGCCGATGGGGATGAAGATGAGGCCCACGACGGCGAAGGTGCCGATGACCCAGTTGGGCGTGAGGATCGGCTGCCAGGCCTTGAGCTTCTGCTGCTTGAACGGGGTGTCTAGCGATAGAGATAGAGATAGCGAGGGGTCAGGTTAGTTAGAGCGGGGTGTCGTTGTTCTTGTTGGCGTTGCTGCTGCTGCTGCTGCTGCGCGCACCTTCCGGTTTCCTCGACTTCTCGTCCATGGTGGCGATGTCTCGCTCCAAGGTCTGCTTGCGGTGTAGCTCCCTTCCTCCTATGGCGCAGCGCGGGCGTCTCGGGGCGGCGCCTGCTTCCTTCCTCCTCTTGCGATGGTAACAATAGGCGACGCGGGGGTTTCGCGCCGATTGTCCGCACGCTGTCCCGAGCGCAAATATCCAGTTTGAGAAGCGAAGGCGAGCCCGCCCATTGGCTGAAACAGCCTGATTATCGCACGCGCATTGGCCAACGCATTTTCCGTCGTAATCCCTGCGTGCACCACACCATACACAACTATCCAAATGGGTTCATAGCGTGGTCCACCTCATAGCGTACTTAGCTGGCCACCCGCCCCAGCGGATACATTAGACAGACGGCCATGAGCTACCGGGACCGGGATGACCGCCGCGGCGGCGGCTACGACGGCTCCTCGACGAGCAGATACGGCGGCGGGGACTCTGGAGGACGCAGCAGAGACCGGTCGCGCGACAGGCCGCGCGACCGGGACTCGTACCGCAGCGGCGGAGGACGCGACAGGTCTCGGGATCGCGGCGGCAGGGACGCGCCGCGCCGGGCCGAGTACGGCGGCGGCAGCGACAGCAGATACGGCGGCAGCGGGCGCGACCGAGACGGCGGAGACGACAGAGGATCGGCGCCGCCCGCGGAGCAGCAGGAGGAGAGCCAGCCCAAGGTGTCGGGCGCCTGGGACCCCGCCAAGGAGGCGCTGGCCGACCCCACGTGGGCGCGCATCTACATCTCGAACCTGCCCACGGACGTGACGAGCGACGAGCTGCAGGAAATGTTCGGCGCCATCGGCGTCGTGGCGCGCGAGAAGCAGAAGCGCGGCTACAAGGACCAGTGGCCCTTCAAGATCAAGATATACACGGACGCCGCGGGCCAGCCCAAGGGCGACGCCGTGCTCACGTACGAGGATTCGAACGCGGCGCGCACGGCGCCAGAGTTCTTCAACGGTGCGCTATATTTGCTACGATTGTTTTGCAATGATTTGTGGTGTTGATAGAGTGCTGACCTTTGTGTTTGTTGCTGCCAATGAACGATGCAGGAGCGGACATTCGCGGGAAGACCATCAAGGTGGAGCTCGCGGGCAAGCCCGAGCCTCCGGTGGGCGGCTGGCACGGCGGAGGCAACAGCGGAGGAGGCGGCGGCGGGCGCCGCGGCGGACGTTTTGGCGGAGGGGGAGATAGATATGGCGGCGGAGGAGGAGGCTACAGTCGATACGGCGGTGGAGGCGGCGGTGGCGACCGCGACTTCCGAGACCGACCCGACCGCCGCTCGCGTCCGTACTGAGAGCAGCGACAGCGTGTCCATTAGGTGCCCTCCATATCCAGATAGCAGCAGTGTGTAGCAGTGTCCTTGAGCCCCAGCGAGAGAGCGTTAAAAGGCGTCAACCGCAGTGTCCACCAGAAGTGTCCACCTTGAAGTAACCCCCCGTTCGGGGACATGATTTTGCGACCGCGGTTTTGACCTCAAAGTCCCGTTTCGATTGGCGAGATTTTGCGAAATATTGCGATACGCCGGCCAATCACGCGTCAGGAGCTCAACTCAGGCATTCTTCGCGCATCCGGCGAGAGAGATATCCCGGACCAGACTCTCTCTCTGCGTCTGCTGCCCCATGGGCGTGTTCAACGTGCTCGCGCTGTCCGTGGAGACGTCGGTGCTGGGCTGGTACCTGCTGGCGCCGCTGGCGTCCCCGGGCGGCAGCGCCGTGCTCGCGCGGGACCTGCGCGACGCGCTGCACTTCCGCCAGTCGCTGGCGCTGCAGGCGCTGCTGTCGCTGCTGCGGCTGCTCTTCTTCGTGTACATCCGGCGCCGCAACAAGCGCGTGCCGTCCACGCGCTGCTTCGTGTTCGTCGTGTCGCTCGTGGAGGTGGCGGGCTGCGCGCTGGGCTCGCTGCAGCCGCTGCTGTACCTGGACGGAGCACAGATCGACACGTTCGCCAAGTTCCGGCGCGTGCGCTGGGGCGGCTTCTACGCGGCGGTGCTGTGTGCATTGGGCATCTTCAGCACGCTGCTGCAACTTGGCTACATCCTGCAACTCAACAAGAGTCGGGGGAGGCTGGCGGACGACAACCTGCTGCGCGACGTCATGGTGGGCGAGACGCCGCGCGCCAAGTGGAGGTCCAAGTGGGCCACGCTGGGCAAGCAGCTGGCAGGGAGACGCAAGCCCAAGGACCCGACGTTCGAGGCCATGGTGAGGCTCTACGCGCACCAGGAGGGGGCCGTGGACAGGCTGGCGGTGTCGTCCGACAGAGATGAAGAGGAGTTCGAGTTCTATCTGCCGCAACTGTGCAGCTTTTTGCTGTTGGGGGCGTTTGCAAGGTCGCCGCAGTTGTGTGCCATGCTACTGCGGAAGTGCAGTGTGTAAGTTTGAAGATTTTGGGGATGGAGGTGTAGTGAGGTGCTAATAATTTGGTGCTTTTTGGGTGATCTGGACAGGTCGCACGTGTTCGCGCACAAAATGCTGTGGTACTTGCAGTCCTACTGCCTGCACAATCCGGCGTTCGCCACGGATGCCGACTTCCAGCGCGTGCAGATGCTGATCGAAGACGTGGCTGAGCGCGGTACGGCTCCCGCGATGGTTATTGCGTGTCCGCCCAGTCCGGTTAATTCGGAGCACCAACCTCAGTATCGTTCCGAACGCGGTTCAGGGGTGTCAGCTAGCGCGCAGGAAGTGGAAGCGTTGCTGCCAGGTTCCCAGGACGACCACTACGCCACGTTCCAGGATAATAACGATCTCGAGCGAGGAGTGGCGAGCTCAGTCATTGCGCCTAAAGTGCCCCCTGCCACCGGCGCCGAGCCGTTTGAGCTTGAGACGACGTTCCTGGGATCACTCGCCAATGTATCGTCGAACTTGAGGGCTGTCGCGTACGATCAACGCAACGATATGGTAAGCGACTTAGTCCTTTCGTTTCGGTATTGCCAGTTCCCTGACCTCGGTTGTATGCCATTGTGACAGCTTCGCATTTGGCTTCAAGATCTAGAGGCGCAGTATCTGCCGAGCAACTCGCTGTACCTGCCTGTCGGCAACTCATACCACCGGCTCAAGCACATCCACGTGGACGAGAGCTTTACGTTCTCGACGCGAGAGCGTGTGCCGTTCTTGCTCTGCGCTGAGGTCGTGGACTATCCGTCCCCGCAAGAAGAGCTCGCTGCACGGCAGAAGCGCCGCAGCAACAGCGTGTTTAACGGTCGGCGATTCACGCTCAGCTTGTGGGATACTGCAAGCACTCCTGAGTTGACGGCAGCTACGCCCGCGGAACGCACACCATTGATGTCTCCGGACGCGTCGAAGCTTGGTTTCTGGAGTGAGTCGCGTACGCCGAGCAGCCCGACTCGACTTCGCTCGTTCTCGCACCATATCTCGAACAAAATGGCGCAACCGACTGAGCTACTGCACGGACTGATTGACTCTTTGGTCGGCAAGGTCCCCGGCGGCAAGAACTTCGATCCCAAGGGCGAGGCATTACTTAGCAACGTTGATTCTGGAGAATATGGCGAGGATTCGCCCAAGCGCTTCCGAGATCTACCGGAGCGAAGCCAAAGTCAGCCATTTTTCAAGAGCTCAGGCATGTTCCCCAAGCGAACCCTCACAGTTGACACGAGTGTAGTAGGACTTCGATCAACACACCCCGAGTCGGCGCGGAGCCAGCCAGCGGCCGCATCTATCGTGCCTGTTACTACTGACATCGATGAAATCGAGTCTGCCAGCAGTGTCAGCGGTCCGTGGTCGCCGAAGTCGGAGACTGTACTGTCGCCCCAGTCCGAGAGCTCAGCGTGTTCACCGAACCACCTCTCACGGTTCGACAGCACAGATCGTTTCTTACAGGATCTATCGGAGCGTGATTCAAAGCTGGAGGAAGACGAGGAAGCTGAGAGCAGCGACCCCTCCTCCGAAACCCGTCACCAAAGTGCAGCTGAACCACCCGCAGTCATATTTAAGGAGCGTTGGGTGGAGAAAGAGCGTCGTATCCAAGCCACTTCCCCTTACGGGAAGCTCCCGGGCTGGAGGTTGCTGCCTGTGATCGTCAAAAGTGACGACGACCTGCGTCAGGAGCAGCTGGCCTTGCAGCTAATCCACCAGTTCGCCAAGGTGTTTGAAGAGTTCAAGGTGCCGGTCTTCATCCGTCCGTATGATGTGATCGCTATCTCCGCTACGTCGGGACTCGTCGAGGCCATCTCGGACACCATCTCCATCGACTCGCTGAAACGCAACGACCGCGAGTTCACGACGCTGTTGGACTTCTTCACGAGGCATTTCGGTGACCCGAGCACGCCCGAGTTCCGGAGGGCCCGATCCAACTTTGTGAGCAGTATGGCCGGCTACGCGATCGTGTGTTACCTGCTCCAGATCAAGGACCGACACAACGGCAACATCTTACTGGACGCCGAAGGGCACATTATCCACATCGACTTCGGCTTCATCCTGTCGAACAACCCGGGCAACATGGCCTTCGAGCAGGCTCCGTTCAAGCTCACGGCCGATTTTGTAGAGCTCATGGGTGGCCCGCGGTCCGCGCACTTCCGGCGGTTCCGCTCTCTGTGTGTGCGTGCGTTCCTCGTCGCTCGCAAGTATCGTCACCGCTTCGTGCTGCTCGTGGAGATGATGCTGCACGGGAACGAGCACTTGCCGTGCTTTGCTGGGGACCCGAAGGGTACAGTCGAGCGCCTGGCCGCTCGGTTCCAGCCCGACCTGGACATCAACTCGTGCGAGGACTTTGTGCACGAGCTGATTGACGCGTCGCTCGACAACTGGCGAACACGCTGGTACGACAAGTACCAGCGATGGATCGTCGGGGTTTTCTAGGCACCGAGTAGTGGCCGAGCGTGTGCAGTCCAGAGCGCTCGAGAGAGAGGAACGAGAAACACTAGGAGCTAGAGGAGAAGACATGCGCTGTTATAAGCCTCTCCAATTCAGACAGACCACTTTGTATCGATCGATGAAACGACGCGTCTATTGCTGCGTCACTAGTCCGTGGCTGGCCGGAGGTGAGTCTCTGCGATGGACCAGCACTTGACGCGGCGGGCTCGAGCTGAGCAGAAGAAGAGGATTAAGGCTGCCAAGCGCAAGTTGCAGCCAGGATGGAAGCCCGGGCGGTCCAAGCGCCGCAAGCAGCTTGCCGCGTCCATGATCCAGCGCTGCTTCAGGTCGCACCTGCTTCGTCAAGCCTTTCAACGCTCTCGACAGAACGTGCGCTTCACGTTCAACTCGCTGCGGGCGTTCGGTCACGCGCGGAGTCGCCAGCATTGGCGCAATGTGGATTTGAGGAGGCTTTCTCGAGAAGAGCTGAGACTTCTAGCGCTGACACTCAACTTGCCGTCGACGGGCAAGAAGGTGTTGCTCATCTGCCGGATTCAGCGCTGGGTAGACCAGCACGTACTGGTCAACGACGTGGCTGCGGAGGCTGCTGCTCGAGCGCTGGAAAATCGTCGCAAAGCTCAAGGCAGTGTCTACTTCAGCGAAGCGCATCCTGGAGCTGACCTCGTTGACATCCGACCACTGCGAGGCCACTACATCACGAGCATCGCCGCGGTACGTCTTGTGAAGCTTCGACCTTGATCCATCTCGACTCTGACAGACTGGGTGCTGGCTGACAGGGCTCCGAATCCGACGCTGTGTATGCGCTGGATGGTGCTCGAGGTGCAGCGTGGCTGTGCCGAACAGGAGGGTTGGCGTCTCAAGTGGGGCTCTGCAGCCACGTTCATCGGCACGACGAGTTCGAGCCATCTCCGCGTGAAAGTCACTGGCTTGCTACCCCCGTGTTCCTCCACACATTGCGTACGGAGCACGTCGATCGCGTTTACGTGGCGCGAGGCCATGCGATGGCGCTTGCCAAAGCGGGCGAACTGTTCAGCTGGGGGGATAATGCGCATGGAGCTTTGGGTTTCGCAGCGGAGTCAGCAGCTCAAGTGGCACGGAATCGAGCGACGGTGGTCGGAGCCTTGGCGAACTATCAGGCGGTGGCTGCGGCCGTGGGAGGACACCACAGCATCGCTGTGTGTGATCAGGTCGCTGGCCATGACGGCGTGGTCTTCTGTTGGGGCAGCAATTCACACGGTCAACTTGGTATCAGCCCGTCCAGTTCCTCTACCATTGACAAATTGACCGATGGCTCGGCCAAGAGAGAGCCAACCACGTTTCCTCGAGCAGCGGTGATTCACCAGGTGGCCACACTTCGCTCGGTATCGGTCCGTCTTGTGGCTTGTGGCGTTCTTCACTCGCTAGCGTTGACGTCCGATGGTAAGGTGTACTCCTGGGGGTGCAGCGATGGCGGACGGTTGGGCCATGTTAAACCGTTGAAGCGCAGCAGCGATGTCGGTGAGCCTGCTCTGGTTAGTGGTGTTCTTACCAACCTCGTTGTACTGAGGATTGCTTGTGGCGCGTGGCATAGTGCATGCATCGCTGCAGAAGCCTCACAAGCTGATAGTGGAGCTGGCCGTGTCTTCACTTGGGGTACTGGTGTCTACGGACAGCTTGGCGTAGGGAAGGCTCAAGTCACGTACGAGCCCCAAGTCGTCCGTTTACCTCCGCGTGAGCTTGACGACGAAGTGCTGGCCACGCGACTCGCATGCGGGACGCACCATACAGCCGCGTTGACAGTTGCTAATCGCATCTTTACGTGGGGAAGCACTCGGGCATTTCACGGAGTCCCAACTGAGCTGAGACTACCTGATGGTGAGCGCTTTGGACGCGTCGCGTCACTCGCCTGTGGACGCACATTCACTGTGTTCAACACGGTTTCTCGAGACGCAGCAAGCTACGAGTGGCCCGAAGTCCCGAGGCTTTGGCGGGATAAACCGACGGTCATTCCGCGCTTGGATCTCTCCAAGCTGCCGACGCCACCGCTGTGTACATCGAATCCGCTGCCTCCGTTCAGCAAAGGTGCCCACGTGACCAAGTCCTCCAGCCAACTGCCGTCTCCAGTACGCCTTGAACCGTTCGCCGATCGATGTGCTCGAGAAGCTGAGGAGCTGCGTGAGGCCAAACGCATCGACGATATCGACATCGAAGCGATTGTCCACCCGCTGTGCCGCTTGTGCTGGCGGTGCAACGGGTTTCAGCCGTCTCCGTTGCGGCTGTGGATGTGTCGGAATTGCTCCCATGAGCGCCAACTGCATGGAACAAGGAAACCCGGGGTTCCTATGGGCGAGTATGAAGCAGTTCGCAAGCTGCAGTGCTTGTTCCGTGCACGGCGAGCTCGACGAGTGATGCAGCGTGCTCGTGAGCAGCGCTATCAGCGCATCTTCTGCATCGCGCACGACGAGTTCTTCTACTACAACTTGTGGCAGCACAGTAAGTCTTGGACGCGGCCTGCGGAGATCAGTGAAGACTTCGAAGTCCCAATCCGTGACCCTGATGCTTCGCCCCGGATATCGCCCCCATTCACGCCCGTAGAAGCTGCAGTAAAACTTCAAGCTGTATGGCGAGGCTTCCAGGCTCGACAACTGATCAAGAAGCTGCTGAGTGAGCGGTACGAGAAGCACTTCGACCTGGAGAAGGAGCGCGTGTACTACATCCGGAAACCTGGTATTCCAAGACCTGCCAAGAAGGAGCCGCTGACGAAGTTGTGGGATCCTCCTCCTTTGCTGCGCAAGAGGTACGACCTTGGTGAGCCTGTGGAAATCCAGAGATTAGCCAGGTTCGCCAACATCGCCCCTGATGAAGCTGCTCGGATAATGCAGCATGCGTACCGATGCTATCGGGGACGTGAGTTCATGCGCCGAATTCTGCGATCGCGGATCAAGAAACTCTGGGACGCCATGACGGGAAGGTATTACTACTACAACGCCACCACTAAGGAGTCCTCATGGGAGAAACCACGACTGCTACTTCATGACGGTGACGACGACGACAACCAGGGACCGAAGGTTGGCCGTAATGATACGAATGCCGACGCTCATGGACGGAGACGACACGCCGTCAATGTGCGGCCGGAGAAGTTCAACACTGAGGAAGCTGCAGCACGTACAATCCAGGCACTCTACCGGCGGTTCGCGACGCGCAAGATGCTGCTGGAGCTGCTTAGCCGTAGGTATCGCAAAATGATGGACCCGGTATCTGGCCAGCCGTACTATTACGACAGCGTCGCTGGTACTGCGACTTGGTTTAAGCCAGCCGTGTTAGGAGACTACGACCTTGAGCTCTTCGACGACTCGGTTACTGCATCCGCTTCAGGAAAGAGGAAAAGTACGCTCATCGCCCCACAGTCGTCTGCTGCTTTCTCCGCTGTAGTTAAACTGCCGCGCATCAGTGAGCGCGCACGCCAGAAGCGACACAAGCGAAGACTGCAGAGACTGCGGCAAATGTCGCGTGATGAAGCCGCTTCACGTCTACAGCGCATGTGGCGCACACACCGGGCCAAAGAGGAGCTGCGTGACCTGCTCTTCGACGCGTACGAGAAAATCTTCGACCCGACAACGGAGCACTTCTACTACTACAACCGCAAGACGGGAGTAGCGAAGTGGGAGAAACCGGCACTTCTTGTGGGCGACGAACGAGATATCAAAGAGACGAAGATTATCAAGAGACGGCGCTCTCACACCGTCACCGAGCCAACCGAAGCCAAGCTAGTGGTGTTCACGTTCATGCGCTGCGCCGCTGCACGTCTGGAACTCCACCGCCTGCTGAAAGAGCGCATCCAGAAAGTTTTCGACCCCAACTCACAACAGTACTATTATTTTGATAAACTTACCGGCCAGTCCTCGTGGAAAAAGCCCGTGACGCTCAAAGGATACGACCTGACTCCGGTGTAAAACCTACGGAACGGGTTGGCAGGAGTAGTGCAGCAGCGTGCCATTGGGCAAGCGCACGAACGTACCAACACCCAACTTCTTGCCACACGATTGGCAGCACTGGGACGACCAGACAGTGACGGATCCCTTCCGCTTGGTCGACAGCTGCTCCCGCACCTTGAAGTTCTCCATCTTGGAGAGCTGTTTCTTGACCTGTCCATTGCGGAAGCGCTCGACCTGGCGCTCCAGAACACGACGGAAGAATCCTGCCAAGGGGGCTGCTGCGACGTCAGCAGGTAGAAGTTCGAGCGCGGTGGACACGTCAATACGTTCAGCATACTTGTTCAACACATTGATGGCTGCGTTGACAGCTTCACTCTGCAAACCGGGAAGTGAGGCTGATCTTCCAGCTCGGTTCCACACAGGAGAAGGCTGCGGTGGCGAGCCTACATTTGGTGATGCGGATCCTCCAGATGATCCACCCGTGAATTGTGGCCGCAGGTAGATCGTTAGCAGCGTAGAGTAGATAGATGAGTCGGCCGTCTTTGCTTCGTAGCACCGATTGCAGTAGGCTTCCGCTAGAGCTGCGTCCTTTAATTCCAGAGCATAGAGTTGAAGCACCTCACGGTGACGCCCGAGCTTCGACAGCAGCGCTGCGTGTTCATCAATCATTTCAACAGGTGTGCGACTCAGCATTCGCTCTGGGTGGTAGGCAGCAGCTGGGAACTCGAGAAACTCAAGCAACTTGCGTCGCAAAAGCCCCGTCATGCCACGCTGAGACTCAACGCGACTCGTGAGCCTCTTCTTCTGTGGTGTCTTGGCTTGGATTGAATCCAAGAGTAGATAGACTACCTCGTCATGCAACCGCGGCGTAAGCTGGTACGGACCCTCGTAGATAACTTGTGTCAGATACTCGATCGCCAGCATTTGACTGTTTGTCAAGGGCAAAACCGGTTTGGTTGTTTCCTCAGCGCCACCATCAGATTCAAGTACCTCCACTGTCGTCGAGTCATCGCTAGAAGCTGCGATAGAGCAACTCTTCAAGTGCTGCAGTATCGCGGCAGGATCAATATCCTGTTTGGTGCTGGGTACTTCGCGCTGAGTAAAAATCGATAGGCCTAGCGCTGGGTTAACCGACAAAACACGCCGCGAAAACTCGAACACTAGCTCCGCGTGCTTTTTGCCCAGCACACGAAGGTACTGCGCGATGAGCACCATATAATCGTGTGACGACTGCAGATCTTCCGTGTCTTCAGGTTCGTCCTTCGCGCCCGTCTCGGTCTTTTCATACAGAGTAGCAGCCGAGGCAGCGCTGCGCTCCAGATCCTCCAGTAGCTCAAGGGCCTTACGATGCAATTTCCGCGCGGAGTAGAATGCCAACAACGCCTTGAAACGCCGATGAGCACGAAGGAAGATCTCCGCCTCGCTGATCTCACACCAATTTTGGTCGGTGACCACCTCGAGCAGAGCTCGCTTCGCACGTTCTTCATACTTTGCTTTTTCCGCCACCACAACCAGGCACTTCACCAGCATCGTGTCGATCAGTTCCAGCGCACTGTCATCGCTAGGTCCAAAACTGCGGCGTAAGTGAAAACCCATAGTCAATCGTTCTTCATCGCGCTGCAGATAAGCGTTCCGCTTACGACGCAAAAGTCCAATCAGCGCCAGCAAACTCTCCACCAACTCGTCACCTTCCAACGTGTGATCCTTGTTGTTGTTGCTGTTGTCCTTGTGCAACGCACTGGCCTTGCGAGGAAGCAAATTCCGTGGGAAAAGCAGCAGCACTTCCATCACATCAATGTCACTCTCAAAGAAGAAGTTCATGGCCTCCTTCCGATGGCCCGATCGAAACAATTTGAAGCCATAGTCCGCGTAAAGCTTCCGCTGGTCGGTGTCACTCAGAGGACTCTCTTCGGGGCACAACTTGCAGAGCGAGACAGCATCTTCAAGCCGACGGTTCCCCATGGACGCCGCGACTTGCTGGGCGATTGACAGCATTTGGAACGACTGAACGTCGAACGGCGGGGACACTGTATACAGCGTCGGGGGTTGGTCATCCTTGAACTGCGGCGCACTAGCAAACGGGTCCGCCACGGTCGCAGACGCCACATTGATGGCGGCACAGACACCATAAGGTGCTTTAACCGGCAGCGTCTGCACCATTTGCAGTGATCCAAAGTTGTACACCGCGATCTGCTCCCCCTGGTCCAGCAGCAAGAAGGGGTGATGGTAATACACTCCCCTTGGCGGCATATTATAGGTAACCACTCTGTCCACCTTCATGCCCAACTGACTCGTCGACACGTCCAGCGCCTTGCCCACACTCTCATCCCCCAACCTGCTCACGTCTTGCTCAAAGGCTCCATACACATCCTCCTCCTCTTCGTCCCCACTCTTCTTCTCCATCGAATCAATCGTCAGAATCACTCCACGCTGCTTCCCGCACAGCAGCAAGTCCAGCACCTGCTGGCGTCGTCGAGCCGCGTACAAACTAGGAAGGGCCACCGCGTCACAGACAGCAGTGACCCCTCCATCCAGAGCTTCATTGACCTGCTGCATCACGTCCTCCTTGACACTCAGTGGCCGGCCGCTGTCCAGATTCAGAACCACCCACTCCTTCTTGCCCTGGATAAACACGTGACTCTCACTGAGTAACAGCAGCCGCTGAACCGGCAGCAGCGTCGGTAGCAGCGTCTGCAGCTCGTGCTGCGCGCGCGGCTCGAGGATCCTGTTGACGGTCCAGTCGAAGACCTTGAGTGTATTGCTCTTAAGCAGCACGCACAGCGTCTTGGCCGCCTCGTGGGCCGCGAACTGCACGGCGCCCTTGGTGTCGTCGCGGGCCACGAGGCCGCGGCCGCCGGCGTCGCGCGCGCCGTCCAGCTGCGGGTTGCTCTGCAGCGGCAGGTCCAGCAGCTTGAGGCGGTTGTCGGCCAGTGTGGCGAAGACGCCCCAGGCGTCCAGGAACGTCGCGTTGGCGTGGAACAGCCGCTTGTAATCCGCCTGCCAGCGCAAGAGGCCGGCGCGCTCGTCCGCCACGTAGCTGCGCAGTGTGCCGTCCGCCGACGCGCCCGTGAACAGCAGCGGGGACAGCTCGCCCCACGCGCGCAGGCTGCGCAGCACGCGCTCCGTCTGCTGCGGCCGCTTGGGCGGGCCGTCCACCTCCACACGGGCGCCGGGGGCGTACGCCGCCGCAGGAGCGAGGTCCTCCGACGAGCTCATCGTCGCTCCTGGGGCCTTTTGATGGGCAAGAAGAAGATACCTTGTGTAAAATGGCTTTTTAGAGCGCTTGCTGGACCTTAATCTCGAATATTGTATAATATGCATGTGGTTCGCTGATAAGCAGGAATCATGCAATAATACTATATTAGTATTAATAATGTATAAATACTATTTCAAATTAGTAATTGTTCATGTAACTTAACTGATCAATGACGTTAACTAACTTCAACTTCGGGTGATACATGTGCACCTCGAAGTAAAGTCTACAGTAATAGGTAGTTGCCGCCCTCCATTGACATGTTCAAGACCTGACCAAGCGTAGTAGAGTCTATGCAGGCGCTACGGCCTCCGCTCGCTTTGTCTCGACTGAGCAGCGTTGATCTCGGTGATCGACGTGGCGATCCATTCGCGACGTTTCATGAACGGGTGATTGGCACGGAAACTATCAACGAAGATCTCGCCCGACCAAAGATGGAGAGACGAATGCTAGCTATGCTGCTCCTACTGCTGCTTCCAGTCACCGTCGTGCAGGTCGCAGACGCTGCGTGTGCCAACTCGTGCTCGGGCCACGGCCGATGCGGCGCCTCCAAGTGCGACGCGTTTTCTGCTGTCCTGACGCCGACAATTTCTCATGCGGATCAATTGTTTTTCCATGCAGCCAATGTACGTGCGATTCCGACTGGGCCCTAGCTCCCGACTGCTCTCTCCGCAAATGCCCCACGGGTGTGGCCTGGACGGATAAGGCGAGGGCGGCGAACGCAGCACACGCGGTGGCCGAGTGCTCAAATCGCGGCGTGTGCGACTACTCCAAGGTGGGATAAGAGCATTAAAGAGCATGAAATCATGATGAAGTTATAGACATTCTACTGCTCCAAACAGGGCGAGTGCACGTGCTTCAATGGTTATACTGGGGCTGCTTGTCAGCGACGTAAGTTTCCCAGCCCAAGTATATTGACGGAATCACTATGAGTGCTCATACCTCGTGTACTGTAGTTCGCTGCCCGTCGGACTGCTCTGGTCATGGACTCTGTTATTCTTCTGCTACATTGGCGTCGCAGTACGGTCCGAGCTCGCTCGCTGGCGGCGGGCCGACGTACACTAACTGGGAGAAGGAGAGCATGACGAGTTGTATGTGCGATATGGGATACACCGGGCCCGACTGCTCCCAGAGTGCGTTGCCTGTGATGAAAACTATTGTATTACATTCGGCTGGCTAACATTTGCTGAACAACTCCAGCCATGTGCGCAAAGAACGATGATCCACTTACGACAGGCCAAGCGTATCGAACTATCAAGATTCAAGTGGGTGCCGATCCTACACCTGGTATAGCTTTGGCGGGGTCTGTGCGGGTCCACTTTCTCGGAGAAGTTGCAGTTTTCAGTGCCGTTGTAGTCGCAGATGCTGCCCATGAAACTGCGTGTGCGCAAGCATTTCAAAGCATGCGCACCGTTTTGACTGCTACATGCTCGATTTCCAGTGTGGATTCGGTAACAAAAGGGGCCATCTATACAGTGGCGTTCACGGAATGGGTGCACTTGGGAGGGGAGAATAACTTGCTGTATCATAATGGGAACCCGCCGTTGTCCAGTTTTACGTGCGATCTCAGCCAAGTTACGAGCGCGAACACCCCCACGTGTGTGATCACCGATGGCGTTGCGACCAACGTAATAGGTAAGTTTGATTTCTGTATTATCCTTACCATCGTTTGAAATCTAATCGTGACACTTGCTGCGAATGTATCAAAAGAGCATGTATATTGCTCCAACCGCGGTCTCTGTGATTTCAGTACCGGCCAATGCGTTTGCTACGCAGACTTTAAGGGAATGGACTGCAATCAGCCGTCTAACATTCCTGACAGTATCGACGACAATGACGGGTTTATCATCAATCCTCTCGGGCTCGCGTACACGGGTACAGTTCTGCATCTGAAGACAGCGAAAGGGTCTCAAGCAGACTTCTACTTTATGAAGATTGAGTCGTCCACGTTGCCGATTCTGACCATGGACGGCATGGGAGACACAAAACTGTTACATGGTGATCTTGAGCTGTCAACCGGCGCATTGACGATAACTACCATCGCTCAGACGTCACCAGCTGCGGATATTGCGGACACTCACATTACCTTCACAAGTACAGTGCTGAAAGTCCGTGCAAGCAGACTATTGAGTACTAACTTCAAATTGTTTGAAGCAATGGTGGCGGATACGAACACTGTTGTCGACATTCGTGGAGATGGCCTCACTACCATTTATACTGGTGGACTGAATGTCGTGACGGGTGGAGCGACAATTGCTAACACCGTGAATGCTCCAAGTCTTACCGTCATCAACTCGTTTGGTACATTCAGCAATTCACTCCTCAAGCTGTCGACTTCACGCGCTACGCTGTATCCTGTGGCTACTGACTTCTTACTGATCGATGCCAGCGCGAATAATGTACCAGCGTTTACTGTGGAGGCTTCTGGGAGGACTACGATCGCTAATGGTGGGCTCATTGTGAATGGACTTGGAGGAGGGCAAATTTCAAACTCAGATACTGCAGCTTCTGCGCTCGTTGTGAGTGCCACGTCGACGAGTTTTGCCAGTGATGCTGTGTCTATAAATACCTTTTCCGGGCTAACTCACAATATGCTGAAGGTCACGACTCAAGTCGCCCCTGCTGCCGCTGTGGATCTGTTTACGATTGATAACACTGGGTTGACGACTATTACTCAGGGCGGTCTGTATATTACTTCTGGGGGCGCTACCGTCAATTCGGGCGGACTTCGTATCGTAAATGGAGGCGAAACTATTGAGTTCGGAGGGCTACGAGTGAAGAATGGAGGAGAAACTATTGAATTGGGCGGCCTAAATGTTATCAACGGTGGAGGCAAAATTGCCACAACGTCAGCTACGACTGATGTACTCACAGTTGAAGCAACTGCGACCACTTTCTCCAGTAACGCAAGAGTTTTACGCATCAATTCAAAATCAACGATAGACCCCACGGTGAGCATGCACTATTTGTTAGAAGCCACAGTAGGAGCGAGCAGCACCTCCGTTTTCAAAGTTGATGCTACTGGGCTGACCACGATCGTGGGCCAAGGGAGCGGCGGAGCCAGCATTTCCGACACAGGCACCTCGGCCAACACGCTCACGCTCACCAATTCCGCGTCCAGCTTCAACAAAAAGGTGCTCGGGATGGTCGCGACGGATACCAATGGCTACTCGTTCATCGATGCCACCGTGGGCAGCACGTCTGTCTTCAATGTGGACGCGAGCGGGCTCACCACGATTGTGGGTCAGGGCACCGGCGGAGCCAGCATTTCCGACTCGGGGACGACGGCCAACACGCTCACGCTCACCAATTCCGCGTCCAGCTTCAACAAAAAGGTGCTCGGGATGGTCGCGACGGATACCAATGGCTACTCGTTCATCGATGCCACCGTGGGCAGCACGTCTGTCTTCAATGTGGACGCGAGCGGGCTCACCACGATTGTGGGTCAGGGCACCGGCGGAGCCAGCATTTCCGACTCGGGGACGACGGCCAACACGCTCACGCTCACCAACTCAGCCTCCAGTTTCAACCAAAAGGTGCTTGGGATGGTTGCGACGGACACCGCCGGGTTCTTGTTCATCGATGCTGCGGTGGGGTCGACTCCTACGTCCGTCTTCACGGTGGATGCCACCGGGCTGACCACGATCGTGGGCCAAGGGAGCGGCGGAGCCAGCATTTCCGACACAGGCACCTCGGCCAACACGCTCACGCTCACCAATTCCGCGTCCAGCTTCAACAAAAAGGTGCTCGGGATGGTCGCGACGGATACCAATGGCTACTCGTTCATCGATGCCACCGTGGGCAGCACGTCTGTCTTCAATGTGGACGCGAGCGGGCTCACCACGATTGTGGGTCAGGGCACCGGCGGAGCCAGCATTTCCGACTCGGGGACGACGGCCAACACGCTCACGCTTACCAATTCTGCTACTACATTCACAAAAACGATGGTCTCCATGACCTCGTTCGATACAGATGGCAGTGGGTTCACCTTCATCGACGCCAAGGCCGGCGCCACCCCCACGTCCGTCTTTAAGGTGGCCGCATCAGGCGCGACCACCATATATGGTGGCGCCACGATCAAGGATACGGGGCTGACTATTGACATGGGCGGCGCCACGATTACATCGGGCGGGTTAAAAGTTGAGAACGGTGGGGCAACGATCACGGCCGGAGGCTTGACCGTGACCGATGGAGGGGCCAGCATTACCAAGTCCACGGACGCGACCACGCTCGCGCTCACGAACTCGGCTGGGACCTTCACCACCACGATGTTCACCTTGACCTCGTCGGACACGGATGGCAGTGGGTTCACCTTCATCGACGCCAAGGCCGGCGCCACCCCTGCCACCGTCTTTAAGGTCGCATCATCTGGTGCGACCACCATATACGGTGGCGCCACGATCAAGGATACGGGGCTGACTATTGACATGGGCGGCGCCACGATTACATCGGGCGGGTTAAAAGTTGAGAACGGTGGGGCAACGATCACGGCCGGAGGCTTGACCGTGACCGATGGAGGGGCCAGCATTACCAAGTCCACGGACGCGACCACGCTCGCGCTCACGAACTCGGCTGGGACCTTCACCACCACGATGTTCACCTTGACCTCGTCGGACACGGATGGCAGTGGGTTCACCTTCATCGACGCCAAGGCCGGCGCCACCCCCACGTCCGTCTTCAAGGTGGCCGCATCAGGCGCGACCACCATCGCCGCCGCGGTGACCATCCAGAACAACGGTCTCACGATCACTTCTGGTGGAGCGACGATCACGGCCGGAGGCTTGACCGTGACCGATGGAGGGGCCAGCATTACCAAGTCCACGGACGCGACCACGCTCGCGCTCACGAACTCGGCTGGGACCTTCACCACCACGATGTTCACCTTGACCTCGTCGGACACGGATGGCAGTGGGTTCACCTTCATCGACGCCAAGGCCGGCGCCACCCCTGCCACCGTCTTTAAGGTCGCATCATCTGGTGCGACCACCATATACGGTGGCGCCACGATCAAGGATACGGGGCTGACTATTGACATGGGCGGCGCCACGATTACATCGGGCGGGTTAAAAGTTGAGAACGGTGGGGCAACGATCACGGCCGGAGGCTTGACCGTGACCGATGGAGGGGCCAGCATTACCAAGTCCACGGACGCGACCACGCTCGCGCTCACGAACTCGGCTGGGACCTTCACCACCACGATGTTCACCTTGACCTCGTCGGACACGGATGGCAGTGGGTTCACCTTCATCGACGCCAAGGCCGGCGCCACCCCCACGTCCGTCTTCAAGGTGGCCGCATCAGGCGCGACCACCAACGCCGCCGCGGTGACCATCCAGAACAACGGTCTCACGATCACTTCTGGTGGAGCGACGATCACGGCCGGAGGCTTGACCGTGACCGATGGAGGGGCCAGCATTACCAAGTCCACGGACGCGACCACGCTCGCGCTCACGAACTCGGCTGGGACCTTCACCACCACGATGTTCACCTTGACCTCGTCGGACACGGATGGCAGTGGGTTCACCTTCATCGACGCCAAGGCCGGCGCCACCCCTGCCACCGTCTTTAAGGTCGCATCATCTGGTGCGACCACCATATACGGTGGCGCCACGATCAAGGATACGGGGCTGACTATTGACATGGGCGGCGCCACGATTACATCGGGCGGGTTAAAAGTTGAGAACGGTGGGGCAACGATCACGGCCGGAGGCTTGACCGTGACCGATGGAGGGGCCAGCATTACCAAGTCCACGGACGCGACCACGCTCGCGCTCACGAACTCGGCTGGGGCCCAGACCACCACGATGTTCACCTTGACCTCGTCGGACACGGATGGCAGTGGGTTCACCTTCATCGACGCCAAGGCCGGCGCCACCCCTGCCACCGTCTTTAAGGTCGCATCATCTGGTGCGACCACCATATATGGTGGCGCCACGATCAAGGATACGGGGCTGACTATTGACATGGGCGGCGCCACGATTACATCGGGCGGGTTAAAAGTTGAGAACGGTGGGGCAACGATCACGGCCGGAGGCTTGACCGTGACCGATGGAGGGGCCAGCATTACCAAGTCCACGGACGCGACCACGCTCGCGCTCACGAACTCGGCTGGGACCTTCACCACCACGATGTTCACCTTGACCTCGTCGGACACGGATGGCAGTGGGTTCACCTTCATCGACGCCAAGGCCGGCGCCACCCCCACGTCCGTCTTCAAGGTGGCCGCATCAGGCGCGACCACCATCGCCGCCGCGGTGACCATCCAGAACAACGGTCTCACGATCACTTCTGGTGGAGCGACGATCACGGCCGGAGGCTTGACCGTGACCGATGGAGGGGCCAGCATTACCAAGTCCACGGACGCGACCACGCTCGCGCTCACGAACTCGGCCGGGGCCCAGACCACCACGATGTTCACCTTGACCTCGTCGGACACGGATGGCAGTGGGTTCACCTTCATCGACGCCAAGGCCGGCGCCACCCCTGCCACCGTCTTCAAGGTGGCCGCATCAGGCGCGACCACCATCGCCGCCGCGGTGACCATCCAGAACAACGGTCTCACGATCACTTCTGGTGGAGCGACGATCACGGCCGGAGGCTTGACCGTGACCGATGGAGGGGCCAGCATTACCAAGTCCACGGACGCGACCACGCTCGCGCTCACGAACTCGGCCGGGGCCCAGACCACCACGATGTTCACCTTGACCTCGTCGGACACGGATGGCAGTGGGTTCACCTTCATCGACGCCAAGGCCGGCGCCACCCCTGCCACCGTCTTTAAGGTCGCATCATCTGGTGCGACCACCATATACGGTGGCGCCACGATCAAGGATACGGGGCTGACTATTGACATGGGCGGCGCCACGATTACATCGGGCGGGTTAAAAGTTGAGAACGGTGGGGCAACGATCACGGCCGGAGGCTTGACCGTGACCGATGGAGGGGCCAGCATTACCAAGTCCACGGACGCGACCACGCTCGCGCTCACGAACTCGGCTGGGACCTTCACCACCACGATGTTCACCTTGACCTCGTCGGACACGGATGGCAGTGGGTTCACCTTCATCGACGCCAAGGCCGGCGCCACCCCCACGTCCGTCTTCAAGGTGGCCGCATCAGGCGCGACCACCATCGCCGCCGCGGTGACCATCCAGAACAACGGTCTCACGATCACTTCTGGTGGAGCGACGATCACGGCCGGAGGCTTGACCGTGACCGATGGAGGGGCCAGCATTACCAAGTCCACGGACGCGACCACGCTCGCGCTCACGAACTCGGCTGGGACCTTCACCACCACGATGTTCACCTTGACCTCGTCGGACACGGATGGCAGTGGGTTCACCTTCATCGACGCCAAGGCCGGCGCCACCCCTGCCACCGTCTTCAAGGTGGCCGCATCAGGCGCGACCACCATCGCCGCCGCGGTGACCATCCAGAACAACGGTCTCACGATCACTTCTGGTGGAGCGACGATCACGGCCGGAGGCTTGACCGTGACCGATGGAGGGGCCAGCATTACCAAGTCCACGGACGCGACCACGCTCGCGCTCACGAACTCGGCTGGGACCTTCACCACCACGATGTTCACCTTGACCTCGTCGGACACGGATGGCAGTGGGTTCACCTTCATCGACGCCAAGGCCGGCGCCACCCCTGCCACCGTCTTCAAGGTGGCCGCATCAGGCGCGACCACCATCGCCGCCGCGGTGACCATCCAGAACAACGGTCTCACGATCACTTCTGGTGGAGCGACGATCACGGCCGGAGGCTTGACCGTGACCGATGGAGGGGCCAGCATTACCAAGTCCACGGACGCGACCACGCTCGCGCTCACGAACTCGGCTGGGACCTTCACCACCACGATGTTCACCTTGACCTCGTCGGACACGGATGGCAGTGGGTTCACCTTCATCGACGCCAAGGCCGGCGCCACCCCTGCCACCGTCTTTAAGGTCGCATCATCTGGTGCGACCACCATATACGGTGGCGCCACGATCAAGGATACGGGGCTGACTATTGACATGGGCGGCGCCACGATTACATCGGGCGGGTTAAAAGTTGAGAACGGTGGGGCAACGATCACGGCCGGAGGCTTGACCGTGACCGATGGAGGGGCCAGCATTACCAAGTCCACGGACGCGACCACGCTCGCGCTCACGAACTCGGCTGGGACCTTCACCACCACGATGTTCACCTTGACCTCGTCGGACACGGATGGCAGTGGGTTCACCTTCATCGACGCCAAGGCCGGCGCCACCCCCACGTCCGTCTTCAAGGTGGCCGCATCAGGCGCGACCACCAACGCCGCCGCGGTGACCATCCAGAACAACGGTCTCACGATCACTTCTGGTGGAGCGACGATCACGGCCGGAGGCTTGACCGTGACCGATGGAGGGGCCAGCATTACCAAGTCCACGGACGCGACCACGCTCGCGCTCACGAACTCGGCTGGGACCTTCACCACCACGATGTTCACCTTGACCTCGTCGGACACGGATGGCAGTGGGTTCACCTTCATCGACGCCAAGGCCGGCGCCACCCCCACGTCCGTCTTCAAGGTGGCCGCATCAGGCGCGACCACCATCGCCGCCGCGGTGACCATCCAGAACAACGGTCTCACGATCACTTCTGGTGGAGCGACGATCACGGCCGGAGGCTTGACCGTGACCGATGGAGGGGCCAGCATTACCAAGTCCACGGACGCGACCACGCTCGCGCTCACGAACTCGGCCGGGGCCCAGACCACCACGATGTTCACCTTGACCTCGTCGGACACGGATGGCAGTGGGTTCACCTTCATCGACGCCAAGGCCGGCGCCACCCCTGCCACCGTCTTCAAGGTGGCCGCATCAGGCGCGACCACCATCGCCGCCGCGGTGACCATCCAGAACAACGGTCTCACGATCACTTCTGGTGGAGCGACGATCACGGCCGGAGGCTTGACCGTGACCGATGGAGGGGCCAGCATTACCAAGTCCACGGACGCGACCACGCTCGCGCTCACGAACTCGGCCGGGGCCCAGACCACCACGATGTTCACCTTGACCTCGTCGGACACGGATGGCAGTGGGTTCACCTTCATCGACGCCAAGGCCGGCGCCACCCCTGCCACCGTCTTCAAGGTGGCCGCATCAGGCGCGACCACCATCGCCGCCGCGGTGACCATCCAGAACAACGGTCTCACGATCACTTCTGGTGGAGCGACGATCACGGCCGGAGGCTTGACCGTGACCGATGGAGGGGCCAGCATTACCAAGTCCACGGACGCGACCACGCTCGCGCTCACGAACTCGGCTGGGACCTTCACCACCACGATGTTCACCTTGACCTCGTCGGACACGGATGGCAGTGGGTTCACCTTCATCGACGCCAAGGCCGGCGCCACCCCCACGTCCGTCTTCAAGGTGGCCGCATCAGGCGCGACCACCATCGCCGCCGCGGTGACCATCCAGAACAACGGTCTCACGATCACTTCTGGTGGAGCGACGATCACGGCCGGAGGCTTGACCGTGACCGATGGAGGGGCCAGCATTACCAAGTCCACGGACGCGACCACGCTCGCGCTCACGAACTCGGCTGGGACCTTCACCACCACGATGTTCACCTTGACCTCGTCGGACACGGATGGCAGTGGGTTCACCTTCATCGACGCCAAGGCCGGCGCCACCCCTGCCACCGTCTTTAAGGTCGCATCATCTGGTGCGACCACCATATACGGTGGCGCCACGATCAAGGATACGGGGCTGACTATTGACATGGGCGGCGCCACGATTACATCGGGCGGGTTAAAAGTTGAGAACGGTGGGGCAACGATCACGGCCGGAGGCTTGACCGTGACCGATGGAGGGGCCAGCATTACCAAGTCCACGGACGCGACCACGCTCGCGCTCACGAACTCGGCTGGGACCTTCACCACCACGATGTTCACCTTGACCTCGTCGGACACGGATGGCAGTGGGTTCACCTTCATCGACGCCAAGGCCGGCGCCACCCCCACGTCCGTCTTCAAGGTGGCCGCATCAGGCGCGACCACCATCGCCGCCGCGGTGACCATCCAGAACAACGGTCTCACGATCACTTCTGGTGGAGCGACGATCACGGCCGGAGGCTTGACCGTGACCGATGGAGGGGCCAGCATTACCAAGTCCACGGACGCGACCACGCTCGCGCTCACGAACTCGGCCGGGGCCCAGACCACCACGATGTTCACCTTGACCTCGTCGGACACGGATGGCAGTGGGTTCACCTTCATCGACGCCAAGGCCGGCGCCACCCCTGCCACCGTCTTCAAGGTGGCCGCATCAGGCGCGACCACCATCGCCGCCGCGGTGACCATCCAGAACAACGGTCTCACGATCACTTCTGGTGGAGCGACGATCACGGCCGGAGGCTTGACCGTGACCGATGGAGGGGCCAGCATTACCAAGTCCACGGACGCGACCACGCTCGCGCTCACGAACTCGGCTGGGACCTTCACCACCACGATGTTCACCTTGACCTCGTCGGACACGGATGGCAGTGGGTTCACCTTCATCGACGCCAAGGCCGGCGCCACCCCTGCCACCGTCTTTAAGGTCGCATCATCTGGTGCGACCACCATATACGGTGGCGCCACGATCAAGGATACGGGGCTGACTATTGACATGGGCGGCGCCACGATTACATCGGGCGGGTTAAAAGTTGAGAACGGTGGGGCAACGATCACGGCCGGAGGCTTGACCGTGACCGATGGAGGGGCCAGCATTACCAAGTCCACGGACGCGACCACGCTCGCGCTCACGAACTCGGCTGGGACCTTCACCACCACGATGTTCACCTTGACCTCGTCGGACACGGATGGCAGTGGGTTCACCTTCATCGACGCCAAGGCCGGCGCCACCCCTGCCACCGTCTTCAAGGTGGCCGCATCAGGCGCGACCACCATCGCCGCCGCGGTGACCATCCAGAACAACGGTCTCACGATCACTTCTGGTGGAGCGACGATCACGGCCGGAGGCTTGACCGTGACCGATGGAGGGGCCAGCATTACCAAGTCCACGGACGCGACCACGCTCGCGCTCACGAACTCGGCTGGGACCTTCACCACCACGATGTTCACCTTGACCTCGTCGGACACGGATGGCAGTGGGTTCACCTTCATCGACGCCAAGGCCGGCGCCACCCCCACGTCCGTCTTCAAGGTGGCCGCATCAGGCGCGACCACCATCGCCGCCGCGGTGACCATCCAGAACAACGGTCTCACGATCACTTCTGGTGGAGCGACGATCACGGCCGGAGGCTTGACCGTGACCGATGGAGGGGCCAGCATTACCAAGTCCACGGACGCGACCACGCTCGCGCTCACGAACTCGGCTGGGACCTTCACCACCACGATGTTCACCTTGACCTCGTCGGACACGGATGGCAGTGGGTTCACCTTCATCGACGCCAAGGCCGGCGCCACCCCCACGTCCGTCTTCAAGGTGGCCGCATCAGGCGCGACCACCATCGCCGCCGCGGTGACCATCCAGAACAACGGTCTCACGATCACTTCTGGTGGAGCGACGATCACGGCCGGAGGCTTGACCGTGACCGATGGAGGGGCCAGCATTACCAAGTCCACGGACGCGACCACGCTCGCGCTCACGAACTCGGCCGGGGCCCAGACCACCACGATGTTCACCTTGACCTCGTCGGACACGGATGGCAGTGGGTTCACCTTCATCGACGCCAAGGCCGGCGCCACCCCTGCCACCGTCTTTAAGGTCGCATCATCTGGTGCGACCACCATATACGGTGGCGCCACGATCAAGGATACGGGGCTGACTATTGACATGGGCGGCGCCACGATTACATCGGGCGGGTTAAAAGTTGAGAACGGTGGGGCAACGATCACGGCCGGAGGCTTGACCGTGACCGATGGAGGGGCCAGCATTACCAAGTCCACGGACGCGACCACGCTCGCGCTCACGAACTCGGCCGGGGCCCAGACCACCACGATGTTCACCTTGACCTCGTCGGACACGGATGGCAGTGGGTTCACCTTCATCGACGCCAAGGCCGGCGCCACCCCTGCCACCGTCTTCAAGGTGGCCGCATCAGGCGCGACCACCATCGCCGCCGCGGTGACCATCCAGAACAACGGTCTCACGATCACTTCTGGTGGAGCGACGATCACGGCCGGAGGCTTGACCGTGACCGATGGAGGGGCCAGCATTACCAAGTCCACGGACGCGACCACGCTCGCGCTCACGAACTCGGCCGGGGCCCAGACCACCACGATGTTCACCTTGACCTCGTCGGACACGGATGGCAGTGGGTTCACCTTCATCGACGCCAAGGCCGGCGCCACCCCTGCCACCGTCTTCAAGGTGGCCGCATCAGGCGCGACCACCATCGCCGCCGCGGTGACCATCCAGAACAACGGTCTCACGATCACTTCTGGTGGAGCGACGATCACGGCCGGAGGCTTGACCGTGACCGATGGAGGGGCCAGCATTTCTGATATGGGAACAACAGCCAGTACGCTAACGCTGACGAACTCCGCATCAAGCTTTAACAAAGCCATACTATCGATGGTTTCTACTGCCACCACCGGCTTTTCGGTCATTGATGCCAAGGTGGGCAGCTCGTCCGTGTTCAATGTGGCCCCATCCGGGCTTACGACCATTTCGGCTGGAGGTCTCAGTGTCTCAGGGGGAGCCACGATATCAGGCGGTGTGACGGTATCCAATACGGGACTCACGGTGTCGGGCGGTGTGACGGTGTCGAATACGGGTCTAACGGTATCAGGGGGTGTGACGGTGTCCAACACGGGTCTCACCATATCTGGAGGCGGGGCCACCATAGCAGGTGGCGTGACGGTGTCCAATACAGGCCTTACTGTGTCGGGGGGTGGGGCCAGCTTTACTGGAGGCATCACTGCTGTAGACACCGGAGTCAGCGTCACCACCGGCGGTGCGAGGATCTACGACACTGGTACTTCCGCCGAGACGCTCACGGTGAAGAACAGCGCCAGTGGCATCACCAAGGCCATTTTGTACTTGGACTCGACGGAGACCAGTGGTTTCCCGCTCATCGATGCTAAGGTGGCCGGCACGTCGCAGTTCACCGTGACGGCAGCAGGGCTGACGACGATAGCGTCGGGTGGCCTCAGCGTCAAAGGTGGTGTCACTGTTGTGGACACAGGTCTCACCGTGTCAACTGGAATTGTTGGCATCTCGGATACAACGGCTTCAACAGTGAGTACAGACGGCGCTCTCGTTGTCAGTGGTGGCGTCGGCATCGGGGGGAGCATTCGCTGTGCTGGAACTTCCTACGCGGTCACGCACACGAACACGTCTGATCGGCGTCTGAAGACCGCAGTCAAGAACTTGGAAGCAGCCCAAGAGACCATCAGGAAGCTTCGTCCGGTACGTTCATCCCTTGTCTCCTCTCCATCAGAGCCGTATCAGCTCCATATTCACCTTGCTAAACAACCTTGTTCTCTGATCTTGCCACCAGGTGACGTACGAGTGGCGGCGAGATGAATTCCCGTCACGCAACTTCCCCACCGGCGTGTTCCCTGGTTTCCTCGCTGACGAGGTGGAGGAAATTCTGCCGGACCTGGTGCAGCAGGACGGCGACGGCTGGAAGTCGATGGACTACACCGGCATCGTGCCGCATCTGGTGCGCGCCGTGCAGGAGATGCAGGACCAACTCGAAGCCTCCCAGGCGCAGATGACGCGCATGCAGCAGCAGATCGACGCGTAAATTTCAATCAAATTCGTAACTTCACTCCAGTCGTCGTCCAGCAGCTTGTACTTGCTGGCCCGACTTGGCCTGCACCACCAGCGTCACATACTCCTCCACGGATAATTATCATGCGTCTCCTCTTTCTTCCGGTGGTCTCCTGCGCGCTCTTCAAGGCACGCAAGTCGCATTCACTGAATCGTACTTAGCGTTCAAAGTGCGTACTTAAGTACTTGAAGCCGTTGATGTTCACAATTCATTTTCGTCAACAAGAGTGCAATGACGGGCAGCGTCGGGGAGCGTCTGCTGCTGTCGCTGGCGTTGGGCGCCGCGCTGGCGGCTTGTGGCTACTACTGCAGCAAGCTTGTTGGTCGCCGCCGCCCAAAGAGTCTGGCAACGTTAAGGCTGGCTGCAGCGCCGCGCCTCAGTCTGCGGGAGCTCTCGCTGCAAAGTTCTGGCCGTTGGGTGGCGCTGTGCGGCACGGCGTTCGACGTGACTGGAGACCCGTTCTTCGACGAGCAGTGCGCCGGTATCTACAGCTCGTGGGTGGGCCACGACGTCACGTATTTGTTGCTGCAGTTGGGGCTGGCGCCGGATGCTGCGGACGACGCGGAGGCCGTGGCCAGCTACTTGGACCGCGAGTGGACGCTGGACGCGCTGCAGGGAGACGATGAGGCGGCTAGACGCCGCCGAGAGCTGTTGCAGGAGTGGTTCGTACGTCTCCAGTCGAGGTACGAGGTGGTGGCGCAGCTCAGCGACCGCTACGTTGGCGCGCCGTGGGATACGTTGAGGGAGGGTCTGCTACCGTCGGATTCGGGCTCGAGTTCCGGTGGCAAGTGCCCGTTGGGATTCGGAGCGAAGACAGTGGACAAGGTTGTGTCGCGCAAGGCAGAAGATGTGGATGATATGCGGACGATCACGTTCCAAGGTCGACGTTATGATGTGGCGAACTCGAGTTTGTTCCAGCCGGAGGGCGGACAGTTTGCACACTTCGTCGGTCACGATGTCACGTACGCGTTAGCGGTGCACTCGACGCGACTTGAAGATCTGGATGTGACGCCTTCGAGAGGGCATACTTTTGAAGAGCAGTTGCTGCTGGAGAGGTACCGGAACTTCTTCGCACGTGAATTGGCGCTAGTAGAAGTTGACGCTGAACAGAAGGAGAGTGGTGGCCAGGCGGAGGTGATTGATCTGCACCAAGTGGTTGAAGAGAGTGACGGCGTGGCACAGGAAGAGGGCGTGCAACGAGTGAAAAAAGCGCTAGAAGTTGCGAGCTCTGACCAAGTGAACGCTGTGTGCTCTCGGACCACGATGACTCCGTTACACAAGGCCGTGGAGAAGCACCGCCTGGATCTCGTAAAGGTGTTGGTACAGGCTGGTGCAGATGTCAAGGCGCGTGCAGCCCTGTACGACGACGAAACGCCGTTAGAAATGGCGCGCCGATTTCACTTCGACGACATTGCCACGCATCTCGAAGCCGTCGCCGTATAATTATCGTGGAGGCTGTAGCTAGCTGACGATAGCGCGTTCAAGGACAAATAACCACGCGCATGAACTACAGGGCCTCGGATGTTGGACATTAATTTTTAACTTTGTGTCACTGCTGTGGCTAGCAGCGGCTACGCAAAATGTTAGGAGGCGGCGTCAGTCTGCCTATCTTATCTCTTAGCACAAGACTTACTCTCAGCGTCGTCCTTGATCACATAGCATCTTGTGAATATGTGCAATGTACTCCGGTCCAATTCCACAGCAGCCACCAACAACTCCAGCTCCCAGCTCAACCCACTGCGATACAAAGTCACTGTATCGCTCCACTGCCAGATCCGTACGCATGGCTTGCGGCTCACTAGACTCTGCAAGCGCCCAATCATCCGGAATGACCGTAAGTCGGTTGGCGTAAGCGCCTAAGCGCACTCCACGGTAGATTAGACTTCCACGTGTGTGCTCGTCGTCATGTAGTTCTCGGAGAGCCTTGCAAATGGCCTCAGGCTGCGAGCAATTGAAGAGAATTGCTTGCAGCTCGGACCCAGACATGGCGGCAGTGAAGTCCAGCAGCTCCCGTGCTGCATCACACACGCTCTCACCACTCCGAATACGCCCTTACCTATTGAGTGCAAACGAAACCATAACTTGTGCAGATCCTCCATCATCTCCACTCCAAGTCTGCTGCACCCCGAGCAGCGCCATCTTGGCCTCCTGAACCGACGACAACGTCTCAGCCAAGTAGCAGTCCACAAATGGCTTCAATGCTTTTGCGATCATCGCGTAGAGTCTCACTCCCTCTTCATGTTCTGGCACTTTGTCGGCTCGGTAGCTCTTTAGCAATGGCGGGAGTGAGCCGCAGACCTTTGCCTTCTGCCTCGTCATGTCCGTCGCCGACTCCATCCATTGATCGCAGGCCTCTCGCGCCACTCGCCCTACTATTGCCGTCAGTCGGACGATCTCCTCGTCGCTGAATCCAACACCCGGCGTCACTCCGTAGTTGTTGCATGTGATGCAGTCGGCGCCAACAGCCAGGAACGAAGTGTGCACCTCTCGCAGCAGAGCGTGGTGCTGCCCGTGCACGAGCGCTGTAGCCGACCAAATGCGGCGGTCGTCGGGCAGCCCACGAGCGAATAACTCCTCGCCGGTGCCTCCATCGAGCAGCGGCATCTTCGTCGATCGTTGTGCCGCCGTTGAGACTCGTCGCAACATTCGAATGTATCCTAACATTTTGACAAGCGAAATGTTTGAGTTTCGTGGAACATGAAATTTGTATGAAAAATTGAGCTTGAAGTATTTTTTGAAAGGCAAGATGTGAATCGAGCTGCAGCGGCTACTAGCTGCGACAGACTAGACTCCTATGCAGCTAGCAAGGGTCCTCAGTTGTGACCTACAATGAAAGGACTTCGGCGATGCGCTGCAGGTAGTCAGGCGGGATACCGCAGCAGCCGCCAACGATGCTGGCGCCGTCGTCGATCCAGCGCATGGCGAACTTGCTGTAGATCTCCATGTCCATCATGGACTGCAGCGCGCCAGGTACGAGCGACTCCTCCATGGCGCCGGCCTTGGACATTGGCGAGATGTGGTCGCCGTAGCCGCCGATGCGGATCTCGTGCTTCTTGAGCGTGTCCATCAGCTCCGGAGTTTCCTTTAGCTGCTTAATCGCCTTGGCGATGTCCTCCGGTTGCGAGCAGTTGAACAGGATACCGCACAGCAGATTGTCTTTGCCTTGAGCTTCACCAGGCAGGAGCTCCATGTGGCGCGTGCAAAACTCAACCAGGCTATGCACACTCTCGACCACGTCCTCACCGCTGCGCAGTTGGCCGGTGCTGTTGAGCGCGAAAGAAACCATCACGGGTTTCTGCAGTGGTTGAACGCCCTCAAACGCCATCTTCGCCTCGGCAAGCGACGACATGGTCTCAGCCACAAACACGTCGACGGACGGGAGCAAAGCCTCTCCGATCAGCAGGTACGTGTCCAGTCCCTTTTGGCGCTCAACAGTGCGATCCGAGCGAAGGCTGTGCATCAATGGTGGCAACGACCCGCAGATCTTGGTGCGGTCCTCGCGGTTGCTTCTGGAACGCGCGCTCACAGCCAACTCGCCGGCCAGTTGCGAGTACTCGCGGATCTCATCGGGAGTGAACCCCACGCCCGGGGTCACGTAGTAGTTGTTGGTGATGATCATGGTAGCTCCGGCCTTGAGGAAGTCCTCGTGGGCCTGCACGACCATGTGATGGTGAGCCGGAGCCACCAACGCACTGGCCGCCAGCATGTTGCGGTCGTTCGGCAGGCCGCGACGGAATAGCTCGTGCATGATGCCGCCAGCAATGATGTCAACTTTCTTCCCCTCCATCGCGGTTTGTTCTGCTCTGCTTCCTTCTGCTTCCTTCACGGCCAATTCGTGAATGAATACAACTAGGTAAGCTGAGAGAATTGGCTGGCTGGTTGGCTGCCACTAACAACATGTCTGTCTGCGACCTGGCAAAGGAAGAAAACTCCGCGGCGGCGTCCCTCAACGGCGACGTTGAAGTGGTCCGATCCACTTCTCATTGGCCAAAAGAGCTCGTGCATTTTCTACGAATCGCCGTTGCGTATCTAATTCGAAGGTCAGACGCTGACGTTGAGAAGGACCATGGCGGACGAGCTGGCCGAGATGACGTGGCTGCGCGTGGCCTGCGCGGCGGCGGGCGCCGTGGTGGTGCCGCTGCTGATGCACCGCATCTTCTTCCACAAGAAGGTGACGCACGAGAGCTCGGCGGGCAGCAGCTCGCTGGAGGAGTACATGACCAAGGTGAGCTGCATTCTGGCTGTGTGGAGCCTGTCGGTGGCTGCTGGTTAATTTGACTGGGGCGTTGCATGCTGCAGCACGGAATGAGCGAGCTGGATGCCAAGTTCCAAGTGGCAGTGGACTTCATCGCGGCTCGGGGCAACAACAAGCTGACGAACGAGCAGGTGGAGGGCGAATGCACTACTGTAGAGCGAGGACGGAGGCGAGGGACTACTGACATGGGTTTGTGCGTGTTGTGCTTGCAGAGATTGACGCTCTACGCGTTCTACAAGCAGGCGCATTTCGGCAAGTGCAGTGTGGAGAAGCCCTCGGCTGTGGACATGGTCGGCTCTGCCAAGTGGTGCGTGGTTTGGTGGTGTGCTGGTGAGAGGCGAGTTGTAGACTAGTGCTAACTGATTCGGGTGGATGTTTGTGCAGGGAGAGCTGGAAGGCGCTGGGCGACTTGAGCCAGGACAAAGCAAAGGAGCAGTATGTGGAGTGGGTGCAGGATCTGTTCGAGGAGTTCGACGTGCGTGGCCCCAAGCGGTGGCGCTCGTCGTCGAACACGTCGTCGTCGAAGGCTACGAGCGAGGCTGTGTCACTGGATAGTTCGATGTCGATGGCTGGAGCTGTCAGCATGCCGAAGGTTGACATGTACGTGTTGCTGTTGTATTGGCAAGTGTGCTCTGGGGCATTAACCACTCGGATCGCGTGTGGTTACTGATACATACGTGTGTGCAATGGCTAGGTCGACGGAGGAGTGGAAGGTGAAGGATGATGTATTCCACTACGCGAGTACTGGGGATGTGGACAAGCTCGTGGCTGCGTTGGACCTGGGCGAAGACATCAATGCGCAGGTAAGCTACTAACCGCTGGCACCGGACACTCCAACTGATGTGCCTGTTACACGATCATAGTAGTGGGGACCTAACGTGTGTTAATGTGAAATTTAGGACCCCGAAGGTCGAACGATGCTGCACTGGGCTGTTGACCGAGACCAGACGACGATTGTGGAGGAACTGCTGCGGCGCAAGGCCTCTCCGAATGTTCAGGTATGCAAAGATCAAATGAGCCAAGCGTGAATGTGTTATCAGCGTCTGACACTTGCGGTTGACTGTGTATTCCTGGTGAGCAGGATGCCGACGGCATGACCCCGCTGCATTACGCGGCGAGTTGTGAGCACGAGGACATGGCCCAACTGTTGGTAAGAGTGTTTACTTGACAGTACCGCTACCTCGTTCGCAGTAGTCCAACTTTCATGCTTTTTCGTGCAGGTAAAGCACGGCGCGCTGGTGGATATCGAAGACCTCGACGGTGACACACCGCTCATGACGGCCTCCAGCAAAGCGCTTCAGTCAATTATGGCGGATGGTCCAACCAGCGACCCTCAGTAAACCGGGGACGCTGCAGGCCACACGGTTAGCTATGCGTACACCGTAGAAAACAGGTAGGTATCATCATGTCAGTGGGTTAAGATGGAAGGAACGGGGCGTTAAAGCGGATTTTTTGCGTTTGTCGAGCTCTTGTATATCGCCCCTCTGGGCAGATTCAGGCTTTCCCCAACGCTGCGGATTTCGTGGCGTGTGGGTCTTATCGGTGACTCCACGGCATTTTCGCGCAGACGAATCCACTGGGATGGAGTTGTTTGCTCCACCCTATTTTTCCGACAGAAGCGGCTTTGGCGATGTGGCCGCAATCGCGGAGATTATTCCCGCTGCACTTCCTCTAGGAGAAGGAGATGGAGTAAGCGGGGTTAACTGCTCCGATGATGCCTACCGGGAATGGTGAAAATTGAGGCAATGATCGTCTCAATCCGGCCATGGGCTGGTTTCAATTGTTGGGTGCTATTCACATGCGAACGAGTCGTAACTCGTCGGCCATTCCTATGCTGTTTTTCTCCCTACGACGCCGCTCGCCTTCCTACACAAACTGGTCGAAGGGGGCGTCGTGGTCGTCGAGCTTCTCGGCGTACTTGATCAGGTCCACGTGGTGCTTCACCGGCACGTTGCGTGGCGAGATCATGGTCAGTTCCTCCATCGCTCGTGCGAACGACACCTCGCGCGCCTGCTTGCACGACTGTAGAGCAGATCGGCTCTTCGCGATGCCGTCGTCTGTGGGCACCGGCGTGACGTTCTGTGCGCACATCGTTGCTGTCGAGTCGCTGCTGTCAGCGGCCTCCGAGTACGCGAACTCGACGGTCTTTCCTACCGCGATCTCCTGACGCACTGCTGCCTGCTCCTCGTTCAGGTTAAACGGAATAACCAGCGGCATCTTGGGCTGGTTGGGGCTGGCCACCGCGCCGCTGCGGGTGACCTGGTTGGCCGGCTTGGCGTCCACGCAGAGGTCGTGCGGGATGATGAATCCGTGCGATCCCTGAATGTCAATGACCGTGCCGCAGTGGAGCACATCCAGTTTGTTGCTGACCTCAGCGCTGCTGTTGCGACGCGTGGGGGCCTCGACGACCGTCGTGGTCATGGCCGACTCCAGGGCTCCAATGCTGTCCTCGCTCTCTCGTCGGCTAGGCTTCTCCTGAAGGGTGGCCGGGAAGGGCGCCGACACGTTGACGATGGCCGGCGACGCGATGTTGAGCGTCATGGCGGAGACGCCGTCCTCGGGCGTCTTCTGTTCCAGCTGCTGCTGGGCGGGGGCCACGTGGGGCAGCGTGACCATGTCGGCCCCGCATTTCTCCATCTCCTTGTCGAGGAAGTCCTGGTACGACTGCGCCGTCTTGGGCATCTTGAACTCCTGCACGGCGCTGGCCACGCTGAGCGCGACCATGAAGAGGCCGGCGCCCGTCATCCAGAGCTGGAAACGGCCCAGGCTCATGACGGCCAGCGCCAGCAGCGCCAGCATGAGCAGGCCCGCGGCCACGGGGCGCACCGCCGCGTGGGTGGAGAGGCCCGAGGCCTGCTCGGCCGCGTGGCTGGACACGGTGCGCATGGCGTTCACGCCCGAGCGCAGGATCTTGGCGGACGTGCGTCGGGACTTGGCCATGGTCAATCGGGATCTGTGGTGGTGTCTGGGGGGTCTGACTGGGGGGACTCGACTCACGCGGTCACTATTTTTACGGCCAACACAATCAACACATGTAAGGAGGGATGGGACGGTGCCGAGGCGAAAATAGCGCGCTAATGGACGCACGTTCGGGCCCTGAGGGTGTAGTGAGCTTTGCTGCGGCGCGGAAGAGCGCGGCGACTGCGTGTGGGTGGAGGGGAGCGCCTTGGCTCCCTGCTGCTGCGTTCTGTTCCTTTGCTTGACGAGGAAAACTCCGCAATCCGGCCGCGGTTGGTCCACGTATTGGGAGGAACGAACGGCATTTGTCATAGCAGACATACTGGGCGCCAGCGCTTTTGAGCGGGGCGTGAGTTCGAAGTAAAGATCAGGCGGGCTGCTTGAAATACCAGCTGGAATTAGTTGCTGCGAGGTCATGGCTCTCGCAGGCTCTCGAGCGGCGTCATGATCGCCGAGCGATGATCGGGCGTGGTGGAAATTTGGCGCTGTATGCGAAGCGCGGCGCGCCGTTCGAGGCGCCAACTTCGCGTTCCTGCAGCGCGGATGAAATCATTCATCCCGATGATCCGCCCTTGACAAATATCCGCCTTGTCATGCATGGCGCCGGCCGGCCGGTATCCGTGACGACCCGAGTCCGGAGCGGCCGGCCTCGACAGCCGAAAGACCGACCGCCCTGATTCAAATCACCGCCCGGCAAATGGAACCAGCCTGCCCTGCCCTGCCGGCGCGGTGGACGTTCAAGCATGTGTGCCGGATCTGCTGCTGCAGCGTTCAGCGTCCTCCGCGCCAGCTGGACGTCCGCTTCTGCTGCTCGCTACCGAGAAAACTGGCCGACAGCATTGCCGCCGCCTGGCGGAGCGTCCTCGAGAGGCTGCGACGCCAACGCCATCCGCCGACGACACCGCGCCATCCGCTGAGGACGGCCGGGGGCCCGTAAACACGGGGGTCAACATGAGCTTCGCATGCGCTGCCTTCGGTATCCGCGGTCTCAACGTGTCGTCAATTGCACCCCTCATCTTGCATAGTTGCCTTTTATGCTACATGGGAGAGATCGTCATTCTGATCACCGCAACGATTGAGCTGATCACCCGCTGTGACCAAGACGCTGAGGACGCTGCAACAACACACGTGCGCAGTACATGTACTCACTCGCACCTGTCAGGGATAACGTAGTTGAAGCTGCACCATCTTGGCCCAGTTGTCGGTGTTGAGTAGATGGCCGAGTGGGAATCTTTTGGCGGCTCCAAAATGGTCGAGGGGCCGCGTCGCTTCACGGCGCTTTGGGATCGCTCCATAACGCAGCAACAGTAGAGCAAGCACTCGCAGCCGAGAGTGGGGGAGACTCGGGCGCCATGTTCATCTTCCTGAGCAAGAAGATCGCCATCCCCAACAATGTCAAGCTGCGGTGCGCGTCGTGGAACTCGGAGCAGGGCTGGATCGCGTGCGGCGGGCAGCACGGCCTGCTCAAGGTGCTGCGGCTCGAGTCGGCCGCGCAGACGGACGGCAAGGGCCCGCGCGGCATCGCGGCCGCCAGCAACCTCACCATGAACCAGTCGCTCGAGGGCCACAACGGCGCCGTCGTGTGCGCCACGTGGAACGCCAACTTCAAGAAGCTCACCACGAGCGACGAGAACGGGCTCATCATTGTGTGGGTGCTGCACCGCGGCATGTGGTACGAGGAGATGATCAACAACCGCAACAAGAGCGTGGTGCGCGATATGAAGTGGACCACCGACGGCCAGAAGATCTGCATCGCCTACGAGGACGGCGCCGTCATCGTCGGCTCCGTCGATGGCAACCGTCTCTGGGGCAAGGAGATGAAGACGCAGCTAGCCTTCGTGGAGTGGTCACCCGACGGTAAGTCGCTGCTGTTCGTGACCAAGGACGGCGAGGTGGCAGTACACGATGCCATGGGCAACAAAGTGAGCAACTTGACGCTGTATGCTGTGGAGTCACGCGGCGGTGGCAACGACTACAAGATCATCGGCGTGCACTGGTACGACGGTATCGAGGGCCACATCAGCCAGGAGGCACCCACGTTGGCCATTGCGTTCCGCGACGGCAAAGTGCAGATTACTCGTGGCAGGTTTGACGAGAACGCGGTGCTTATCGACACTGGGATGGAGTTAACCCAGGTGAGGTGGAACAACGACGGCAGCGTCATCGCCCTGGCCGGCACGCAGGTCGACAGCTCAGCGTCGAAGAGCGACGCGCCCAAAGAGTTCAATGTTGTGCAGTTCTACGACCCGTTTGGCCGCCACTTGCGCTCGCTTCGCGTTCCAGGGAGTCGTATTGAAGCGCTGGCGTGGGAAGGAACGGGTCTCCGTATCTGCCTGGCCGTAGATTCACACATCTACTTCGCCAATATTCGACCCGCGTACAAGTGGGGATTCTACGCTAATACGCTGGTCTACACGTACAACCGAGCGGACCAGATCGAGAACTGCGTCGTGTTCTGGGACACAAAGTCCGATGAGCGCTGCACCAAGTACATTCGCGGACTCCTTGCGATCAAAGCGGCGGGGGATAACTGCGTGCTGGTGACCAAGATTTACAATGAAGATATGGGCACAGGCGAGGTCAACGGGCAGCTCGTGGATGACGAGCAGGGAGTGTTCAAGGAGATCCAGTACCAGTTGATCCTTTGCGACACGATCGGATCTCCTATCGAGAGCAAGATCATCGACTTCGAGCCGATTTTCGTTGCTATGACATCGCGCCACATTGTTGCAGCTTCAACCGATGCCATTTACGTCTGGCAGTACAAGAATTCCAGCGCCAAGCTGACGGGTTTAGTATCCGGCAACGGCTCGAATCAAGACGCGATGGATGTCAGCACAATCTCGCAGCTATTGCAGCGAGGAGGTGGTCGTGAAAAGGCCTTTTACATCGATGAGACGCAGGGCAACGACGTTGAGCACTTCCGCTACGTTGCTCGCCAATTGGAAGACCCGATCTGCGCGATCTGTGCCTCGGACAGTTGGATTTTCGCAGCTCGAGCCAGCGGTTTGATCCATTGTTTCACGCTGCCTCACATCTCGCTGGAGATGAAGTACATCGTAAACTGCCGCCCGCAGTTCCTCGCCCTCAACTGCAACTCGACCTTGCTCAGCGTCATTGATATCAACGGGTTGCTGACTATCATGGAAGTCGGGGCTGCTGGGAGTCTAAACACCACGCAGGGGAAGATGCTGAACTTCGAGAAGAAGGATGCGTGGGATGTCGTGTGGGCCGAGGATAACCCGGAGCTGTTCGTGATGATGGAAAAGGCCCGGATGTACGTGTATCGAGGTCTCGAGCCTGAAGAACCCGTGTCGTCGTCTGGGTATCTCTGTTACTACAAGGATCTGCAAGTGAAGGCTGCACTGCTGGACGAAATTCTTGCGAATCCAGAACAACCCGACAAGAACATGGTGATCGAGTTCCAGACGCGATCGTTGCGTGATGCTAAGGCTCTATTGGACAACGTGGGGCTCGCTGAAGCGTGCGAATACATCCAGGACCACCCGCACCCGCGGCTGTGGTCCCTCCTGGCAGAAGCTGCATTGGATCAGTTGGATTTCGGGATGGCTGAGCGAGGTTTTGTCAAGTGTGGAGATTACAGCGGCATCCAGTACGTCAAGCGCTTGCAGCTGCTGAACGATCGCGTCAAGCAGAAGGCTGAGGTTGCTGCTTACTTCCAAAACTTTGACGAAGCGGAGGCGCTTTACCGTAAAATTGATCGCAAAGATCTGGCTATCGACCTGCGTCAAAGACTCGGAGATTGGTTCCGCGTGGTGCAGCTCGTCCAGTCGGGCGGAGGCAACGATGACTTGCTGACTCATGCGTGGAATATGATCGGCGAATACTTCTCGGATCGCCACAAATGGGAAAAAGCAATCAAATACTACGCGCAAGCTAAGAACACGAGTGCGCTGGTGCAGTGCTACTACGCATTGGGTGACTTCAATCAGCTCGAAGCTCTCGTGAACGACATCCCTGAGAGCTCTCCTCTGTTGAAGGAAATGGCCATCAAGTTCACACGAGCAGGCCTTTGCCAGTCTGCAGTGGAGACTTACGTCCGGATGGGGGACGTCAAGTCCGCTATCGATTCTTGCGTTCTCTTGAACGAGTGGGAACAAGCTGTTGGTCTTGCTGAGCAGTACAACTTCCCCCAAATCGAAAACGTGCTGACGAAATACGCGAATCATCTCATGATGAACGGCAAAACACTGCAAGCGATTGAGCTGTACCGTCGAGCAAACAAAAGTACGGAGGCAGCGAAATTGCTGGCGAAGCTTGCCAAAGAAGTTGGGAAGAACCCACTGCGCGCCAAGAAGTTACACGTCCTAGCAGCGTTTGAAGTGGAGCGGATGCGGAAGAAGATGCTGGACATGTCCAATTTGACCTCCATGAAAGGCACGACGGCAGCTCAAGTGACCGCGCAGACGCTGGAAAGCCTCGTGCAGCATGATGCGGCGACGGGTGAGGACCGCTCCTTGGACAATCCTTGGCGAGGCGCCGAAGCCTACCATCTCTATCTTCTCGCCCATCACCAGCTATACACTGGTCGCATCGAACGAGCCTTGCGCACCTGCCTCAAGCTGTCGGCGTACGAGGACATCCTCGAAGAGCGCGAGATCTACTCACTTATTGCTCTCACCGCGTTCTACACCAAGCACTACGAACAATGCTCCAAGGCCTTCGTCAAACTGGAGACGCTCCCTGGTCTTGATGATAAGGAGCTGCAAGCGATGAGCGAGCTCGCCCTCAAGATCTTCACGACCACGCGCACAGAGCACCAAGACCCGACCATGCGCCCCCAGGAGTGCCCCAACTGCCGCAGCCACGTCAAAGAATGGGATTCACGCTGTGGCACTTGCAGTCGTCCGTTCCCGACGTGTATGATGACGGGGATGTCCATCCAGTCCCAGAGCACGAAGACGTGCAAGGCCTGCCGTCACGTGTGCATTGAAACCGAGATTCGCGATCAGAAGAACTGCCCCCTGTGCCACACCCCGTTCTCCTTCTAGTTGCTAAGGCTATCATACGTGGAGGAGGCCAAGTACTATTGAATAACTCAAATGAATTCCATGTTCTTCCCCAATTGCAGTAGTTCTATTCGTACGCGCCAAACAAAACTTGGGGTGCCGTTAGTTCGGTGTCTTCGAAACGACCGTCGAGTCACCTCCATTTTGAAGCAGAATAGGAGGACGGATAAACAATGAAGGTAAGTTCTTGCTTCTTGTGAGGTGCTTGCTCTTGAACGATGACAGCTGACCTATCGCTATCGACTACTGCAGAAGCCCGCAGCTACAGAAAAGAAGACTGAGGGTGCTGACAAGAAGGAGAAGGATGACGCTGAACCCGACGATGATGCTGAAGAGGAGGAAGAGGGCGAGGAGGAGGAGGAAGAGGAGAGTGACGAGGAGGTAGAAGAGGACACAGGGCTGACTGAGAACCAAAACCGACTATTGTATCTGGTGTCGCTGTATTCGAAGCCTGCCATTCGGGCCTCCGACAAGGAAGAGTGGATCCGCAAGCCTGCGCTTCTGGTGTTGCTCTACGAAGCGATTGTATCGAAGGCCCTTGACTATGACTACGCGCCATCCTCTGAGCTTATTGAGAACAAGCGCAAGTACTTCAATATCTCTCAAGAAGGCAAGTCCGACCTCGATTTCTTACGTGAGGAGGATCTGGTGAATGGCCTCAAGCTGTCGTCCAAAAGCTACCAGCCAGTGACCTGCTTTCAGATCTCCGAAAAGGGCCTCGAAATTGTGGCGAAGATCAGCAAGACGGACAAGTTAGCAGTTAACGATATGGCGTACGCACCCGGAACACTGCACTTGTTGCGTGTGGAATGGGATGGAGAGGAATACTGGCTGGTGGATGACGAAAGCGGGTACCGGCGACTGTCGTCTGTGACCGAAACTGAGGACGTATCGTACGTTTCCAGTGCCTATATCCCGCAGTGCCTACGCTTCGGTGGTCGGCCGACGCTCAGCAATGCACATCGCGCCCATGAGTGTGGCGTGAGCGACTCTAGTATCCGAGACCAGCTTGACGAGATCATCACGCTCAATTCAGTGTCACTTATCGTGGCCGAGTACATTCCTTTCGGCTCCAATCAAGTTGTACAACTGAACTGCAACCTGGGATCAACCGAGCGAGTGCAGGGCGGGTTTTTCACTGCGATCGTTGACGATAATGCGAGTGGCACCCAGATCTCCGTTGATCCTGGTCTCACTTCGATCAATATTTTAGACTACACGATGACAAACCACGTGAACTTCGAGGCGGACATCCACTTCCCCGAAGCTCCCGGGGTTGTACAGGTAGAAACGTTTGGCTGTTCACTCACGGCCGCAGGCTCTTGTCTGTACGGGATGCAGGTCGAAGCCATCATGGATCGAATCAAAGACAACATTTCGCTTGATCACTTGTCTCGACTGCTCGTGGATGTGCACATGGACTCGTCCAAGATTGTCGACAGCGTTCTGTCAGCATACCAACGCGCGCTACTGGGGCTCATCTTCTCGAACCAAGCAGCCAGTCGCAACAAGATCAATCTCATCATCGCCAACGAGATCACGCCGCATTTGACAGCGGAAGAGTACATGGATAAAGGCGAGTACGAGAACGAGCTGAAACAGGTTATTGGCGATACCCGTGCGGCTTTCGACATTAGCGAGCACGACACGCTCGTCTTTGGAGCGCATGGCCTCCTGATCGCCGGTCCCAATAGCAGACACCACGAGCCTCTTCTCTGCAGTTTCCTCCAGTACGAATCCATGAACCTGTTCACACAGAACTTCTTCGCGCGCATGTTCATCATCGTGGATGACATGGCCCAAGTACGCAAGCTTATCGAGACAGCAGAAAAGGATCCGAATAGGCTCCGAGAAATTCGAAATCGACTTGCGGTGCTCTCCAAGGAGATCATTATGATGGAGGAAACGCTGAGCTACTTGAAGGAATCGCTGGACGAAGCTATTGTGCCAGCGGAGCCACCGGAGCAGGCAGGGCGGAGTCTGTACGAGCGACTTCAGCTCGGAATTCTGAGCAACCAGCTCAAGCGACGAGTCAAAGACCTGCACAAGAACATGGGCGGAGCTCGCCATGAGATGTCGGTGCTGAACGAGATGGCGAACATCGTGTCGAGTGAAAAAGATTTCCAGCAGAACGAGGCGATACGGATGCACACGCGAACGTTGTGTGAGCTTCAAGAAGTGAACGAGCGGGCAGCGTCGACGTTGCTGATTATGAAAATGATGTTGAGTGGGCTACTGGCGTTTAATATTCTGGATCGAGTCACCGGAGACTGGACTGTGACCGACACCGACTGGATCAAAAGCTTTGTGGAGGTCATGATCTACAATAACCCGGGGCTGTGGTTCTTTTTCAGCCTTCTCGCGTGGGTAATTGTGGGCGGCGGCATGCTGTACTTGCTGCGATACATGAGCTTCAAGTCGCAGGGCGTCGTATCGATCAAAGTCGAGCGGAAAGCGCCTATACAGCTCAAAAACCTCACCAGCTACCTGCGGAACAAGATCCTCGATGTAAGCGAGCACCTTTGCATGTATGCATAGAATTGTCACTATCCGGACTGACCTGGTGTTGCGGCTGTTGTTGTTTTCGTGTATAAATTAGAACGAGACCCACCACTACGAAGGGGGGATTCGCGTGGCCAAAGTGGTCTGGAGGGAGAAGGACAAGAAGGAATGGGGCGGTACAGTTCCGTCGATTGAGGTGCGCAGCGTAACCTCGCTATTCACGCCATGCTATCTCTGACTTTTGATCGTTGTTGCAGCTGGAGTACGACGAGGAGAACGCGTTCATGCTGCGGATGGCAATCTCGTACAAAAAGCGGCAGGCTGCTAAGGCGCTCGCTTTTAACGCCGACGAGCTGTACACGCGCTTGATGCAGGAGCTCGACAAGGCCCGGATCTTCGTAGACGCCGACAGCAGCGCCGCGACGAAAGCGTCCAATTCATCGGCCGCCGCCCTGCCACCTTCCAAGTCGCCAAATAAGAAGGAAGAGACCACGTCACCGCCCTCGGCACCTACGTAAGCGTCTAGAAAACGAAACACATCCAATTCTTCGCTTCAACTTGAGGCGACCACTGAAATCCTTAATTTGTGTATGGGACACAGTTCTTGTGTGTAATTCGTGTGTGCCACCGCGTGTGGCTCGAGTCGCTCACCCGTCGGTTCTGGAGGTGCGAGCCCCATGTTGACCCGCGGCCAGCGCCTGCCGCGACGGCTGCTGGAGCTGACTCTGCGTGCGTCCTCCACCAGCAGCACTCTCGCCGTCTCCTCCACGTCCAGACGCGCTGCTTCTCGTCGCCTATCGCCCACCAGAAGCTTCAGGAGCGTCTCCTCCAGTGTAGCAAGGCACGACCCACACGTTTCGAGCTTCAGCCGCTCACTGCAGCCCCGCCGCTTCTCGCAGGTCACAGCCAGCTGCCCGCCAGTGCCGCAAGACGAGCATGAAGAGCTCAAGAGCTTTTTAGCGGAGCCTGCGACGGCGGGCGCGGCCATGGAGCGCGCCAAGGAGATCGTGACGGGCTGGATGCAGCGGCACGTGGACCCGGCCATGCCCGGCCAGGACGCCACCGTCATGGTGATGGTGGCCGACGCCATGGAGGACCCGCAGTTCGTGATGCAGGTGTACACGTGTCTGCGCGACGCCGGCGTGTCGCCCTCGCCCCTGACACTCGAGTACTCGGCCGCAGCCTGTGCTCAGCTCGGCCTATGGCGCACGGCGCTGGAGATCATCGAGTTCATGCACCAAGCAGTGGAGATCATGCAGCCGTCGCTGGACATCTACGAGAACGCGATCGCGGCGTGTCATAAGGACAAGAAGTGGATGAGGACCAAACATCTTCTGGAAGAGATGCGCACCCACGGCCTCGAGGCGTCACCGGAACTGCATGTGGCGTCAATCCGACTGTGTATTGACAGCAATGAAACGACAGCTACGCGCGTGCTCCTGGATGCGTTTCTGCGGGCGTACGATGAAGAGCTGGCGGAGGAGGAGAAGCAGGAAGTCGTCACCGAGCTTTTCCACGCAGCGTTGGACGCGCAGTCGTTGCCGCAGGCGCTCTTCTTCCGCGACGAGCTGCTGGCGAGACACTTTACCGTTTCGAAGGAGCTGTACACGCGGCTGGTTCATTTGTGCGCCGTAAAGCGTCAGTGGCACAAGGCTCGTGTACTGTTGCGGCAGTTTGTGGATATCAACGCTCCACCACCGAAGGCACTGCCATCGAACAAGCATCTGGACCACATCCACCGTTTGCTGAAGGAGATGCACGCCCATGATATCGAGATCCCGTTGGCGGTGTACAATTCTGGACTGCGGCACTTTGGACAAGTCTCGCTGCTAGATGACGCTAAGCTCCTTTATGCAGACATGCAGAACAGCGGAGTGAAGCCTGATGCTACGTCGTTTGCAGCGCTGATGTGCTCTTCCGGCTCCAATGTTCAACAGTCAGAAGACTACTTTCGTCAACTGCAGCGTAACAACTGTGAGCCTACACTGGACGTCGTGCATGGATATCTGCTGGCACCCAGTCGTGCAAACAAGTGGGAAGAGGTGCTAAAACGATATGCCACTGTCCACGAGGAAGATCCTTTATTTAAAGATCTTCCGATGGAGTCGGACGTGCGAATTCAATCTCTCGTGGCGGTTGCTTATGGGCGCGTGCATCGCTCAGAAGAAATGCTGCGTGTGTTCACAGCGATGAAGGTGAAGGGCATGGAGCCGAATCTGCACGTGTATGGTGAAGCGCTGTTCGCATACATCCGTCAGGGGCAGTGGCGGCATGCGCTGATGCTGTTCGATCATCTTTTCCAACAGCAGACGCCCGAGATGCAGGAGAAGCGAGTTCTAGAGAATTTCCCCACGCTGTGGGATGCTGCTGTACTGGCGTGCGTGGAAGGCGAGGAAACACAGCGAGCGGCGATTCTGTATGACACTATCATCGAGCAGCGTGTTCCAATCTCTATGGTGACTGGTGAGCGTCTCGCTGCGTTGCTGACCAGCGTCCCCGCAGAAACGTTGTGGCATTCTTTCAAATCGATATCGTCATTGCATCGAACCAAGACAAGGAGTCGATTGAACCCGCGAGTACAAAACGCGGTGCTAAAACGCGCCGTGGATGAAAACGACAGCAATCTAGCTGAGCAAATTGTGGTCGATGGGGTGGATGATATGAAAATGCTGCCCAATTCCATGACGTACGCGCTGATGCTTCGTCTGTACGCAAACCGAGAGGACCAAGAGAAGTTTCACACCTGGTGGCGTAGGATGGAAGATGCCAACGTGAAGACGACTCTCTTCGTGTTCCGGGCACTGATGCAGCATCTAAGCAACCTTAGCGTGGAATGTGAGGACGTGTCGTACTTGCACGCCATCAACAGCTTTCTTCAGCGACAGCAAACTGAGGGGTCAGATGCAAGCAGGATTACCGTCGAAAACATCAAGGAATACGCTGCGAAACTTGGACGAACTGCGTTAGACATCATGGAAGGTCGAGGAATGGCGCCTGACACAATCTGCCTGCAGTACTATCTGCTGCTCAGTCAAGAACCGGACCACGTGGCTCGCGCTCTCGCGTTTGTAGAAGATTCACTGTCTTCAGCCAACGGAGATGACCAAGACAATCTCCACGATGTCGTACAACTCACGCCTCGGTTATTGCACACGCTGTTTACAGCGTTGGGCAACTTCCCGGATGACCAGCGTGTGCGCAGACTTCTCATCGACATTGTGAAATACTTGCCTAGCGATCTTTCAGAAGACGCTCTTGCGGCTTACTGTGCAGCGAATGATGGTTACCACACGCTGCAGCTTTTGCGCGAACTGCTTGATCAAAAGTGCCCTCTTAAGGATGAGCACGTGCTGTTCTTCCTTACCAACAGCTACACGTGCGAGGCGTCGGCGTTGGAAACCGAGGAGTCTCGTCCGAGGAGCGGAAATGGTGTGATAGTGGACATGGCTGCGCTGTTGTGTGAAGGCGAGACCGTCACGATGGAGGCAGGTTGCCTGGCCTTCCTTATCAAGCACGTCGTGGACCTGTCCAAATGGCAGCAGCGAGATACGTTCGAGGTATCTACGCAAGAGGAGATCGAGGCTATGAAAAGGCTACTGGTGCGTGCGTTCTCGCATTTCTCCATCGCCCAGGTCACAGAGTTTCTCTCCAAGGTGATCGATAGAGACGATCTCGTTCATATCATGAGTGTCCTAGACGAGCTCCAGGAGGCTAGAGATAATCATTAGACCTAGAGAAACCGCGTTGGTGTTTTGAAAACGAAATTTATGAAATCTAAAGTGTCTGACTCGTGTTGCATTTCGGAAAGGTGATTGGTGCACTTGTACTTGCACTTAGCACGTCACGCTCCTTCGGTTAGTCATCACTGGTGACGAGTTCGCAGTGCTGTGCTGGACCAGCATCTGCTGCATCGCCGGTATTGGTTGCAGCTCTTGACTGGCGCACTTCGACCGGTGGACCCAGAGACGTCCACGTGACGTGGACGTTTCCGGTATATGTATCAGCGACACTTCAAGGGACGAAAAGGGTACACTGCCTGCCCCCCGCTTCCTTCGCCTCCTTTGCTGTTCATTCCTGAATCTGCCTAGCCTCGCTCAAGTCCCAAGCTTCCAGTCCTCCCCGCTAACAACCACCCACCATGGCCAAGATCGCTATCATCTACTACTCCACCTACGGCCACATCGCCAAGCTCGCCGAGTCGGCCAAGGAGGGTGCCGAGTCCGTGGAGGGCGTGACCGCCGAGATCTACCAGATCCAGGAGACGCTGCCCGAGGAGGTCCTGACCAAGATGCACGCGCCGCCCAAGAAGGACCACCCCGTGGCCACGACGGACGTGCTCAAGGAGGCGGACGGCATCCTCTTCGGCTTCCCGACGCGCTTTGGCTCGCTGCCGGCGCAGGTCAAGGCCTTCTTCGACTCGGCCGGTGGCCTGTGGGCTGCCGGTGCTCTGGTCGGCAAGCCGGCGGGTATCTTCTTCAGCACGGGTACGCAGGGCGGCGGCCAGGAGACCACGGCGTTCACTGCGCTGACGTTCCTGGCGCACCAGGGCCTCACCTTCGTGCCGCTGGGCTACCGCGCCCCGGAGCTCTTCAACATGGACGAGATCCACGGCGGATCCCCGTGGGGCGCCGGCACTCTGGCCAACGGCGACGGCTCTCGCCAGCCGTCGAAGCTGGAGCTGACGGTGGCCACGACGCAGGGCAAGTCGTTCGCTGAGATCGCCAAGAAGCTGGCCGCTTAAGATAAAGTTCGCCAGGAAATGCTTGTCGTTTTGACATTCCTGCAACGTGCTGGTTGTCTCCGCACGCGAGAGTTTGGTCGTCACAGTGCTGATCTCAGCCAAAGTCCGTCAGGCCGTCGGTACCGGAACTTCCGATACCCCGCCGGCGCGTGCCCGACTGGCAACGTAACCAATTTTATTTAAACTAAGACAAACTCGTAGCAGCCGGCGCTGCTGACTAACTAACAATACACGCACTTCCTAGACACGTACGCAATGAGCAACTTCATCGCCCTCTAAACCACTTGGACGTACACCACCGCTGTGCCCGTCCTCACTTCGCAGTCCACAGAAGACTCGGAGTGCCAAGTGCTCTCCTGTCCGTCACTCACCACGTCGCCCAGTAGCCCGTCCACCGAAGCAGCCGTTCGTTCGTCTTGCAACTCGCTCCCGAGCTGCGTCTGTCGCCGAGGCCTCTGCGCCCTCGCCGTCTATTTCAAGAGTGAGCTCGACGCTCGAGGTCCTGAGCCCCATGCCCGCCGCACACGTGCAGCAGATCCTGGCGACCGTGTGGTCTCCGGGGTCCGCTGGGGTTCAACGTCCCACTCGTCCCTCAGCCGCTCCTCGCATTCGTCATTCTTCGCCAGGCTGGGGTTCAGGCCGCTCGTCTGACCCAACCCGTCACATTCCCATTCGCGAATAGAGCTGTCGACGTCCGGTGTTATCGAAGGTTAACACCCAGACGTCAAAAGTCGCCAACGGACGTCTGATCCACGCCCCCTTGACACCACCCGCTTGGTCACTATTTCGAAATAGTGAGATGCCACTTGTGGGGACTGCTTCATTGCATATGGCGGCTCGCATTCTATTTTGTGGCATGTTAGCTCGACTACCGTAGTTGACTACAAGCTCAGGAACGTTAGATTGCCACCTTCTAAGGGATCGGATTCTCTACCCTTAGGCCTACGCGCCGATAATACACAGGTAGTCTCAGATAGCAGAACTCTCTTGGTCGTGTGCTGTGCCGCTTGTCTTGTGGCCTGATGCGTTGTCAGCGAACTCACATCACCTCTAGGTTGTATTCCCGTGACTTGCAGGAAGGCTACAACTTCGTGGTGACAGACACGCCATACCTAGCCGCCAACGTGGCCAAGTTGATCGTCAACTCAGCTGACCCCTCCTCTGAGTAGGCCCGTACGACGTGCGGCAATGACCGACAGTCGGCCAGACTAACCAGTCTCGCGACACTGAGCGGGAGGAAGAGAACGGCTTCACAGGTCCCATTCTCCCTCATGGAGTCAGAAGCCAAGTCCATCATCGACGACTCCAGAGACGCCTGTTCAACCATCGGCTCGTTTCGGTCTAGATGCTGTTGCTGAAAGTGCGCAAGAGCGTCAAGCACGTGGACGCACTCCTGGCCGACGTGAAGCTCATGGCGACGCTCGAGCCCGCGCGCAGTGTCCCGTTCGCGGGCATGGCTTGGGACTCACTGACGGACTTGTGCGCCGTCTCGGAGATTATGGAGGGCGGCGACTTACGTGCGTTGCTGAGTGTGTGTGAAAACACCACAGGCTTCGAGCTCAGCAAGTTGACGATCGCTCGGAACGCGGCGTACGTGCTCACGTACCTCCACTGGCTTGAGACTTAAGTACTGCATCGAGACTTGAAGTCGATAACGTCCAGCTCGCCTCCAGGCTAGAGACCAATCTCACAGCTAAGCGAGAAGACGACGAGATGACGGCCAGCGTTGGCATGTCGCAGTGGATGGCGCTGGAGGTGGTGTGTATACGTCGACATGTTTGTGGTCGTAGTGTGTTGGATCAGCATGTCATTTCGTATTCACACGCAAAAGGCTGCGGGGATATTGACCCAGACCACAAAGTCTATGAGGTGGCCATCATCTAGATGGTGGCGCTGTTTAGTTTTCATCAGGTTAGTTCAATCGATGCCGGACTTGTGCACGGCTTGTGTGTCTCTGGATCCGACGGAATGGCCCAAAATTGCAGAAGCGCTCTACCATCTTCATTCAATACTATCGCAGAAGCACCATTGAAATGAGTTACATACATGAAGAAGTTTCGTTATGAAGACACATACAAACATTATACATGTTAGTTACAGTGTTGTCATCACTAACTAGATACATATCATGCTGCTCCATTTTGAGCCATAAACACCATATCCCGAACTGTGCTAGCCTTCAGCGAACAACGTCGTTTTGTAACTGTGTTACCTGCAGTGATAAACGCGCGCTCTGAGGGCACCGATGTAGCGATGCATCCAAGTCACTTGCGAGTAAGAACAGCAATAGTCGGAAATTTTGAATGGTTCTGCTTCCACCACGACAAGGCCGATGGGGGCTTGTCGGGATCTTTGACCTCCGCCTCGCTCGACTGCTTCAAGTAGCTGCTTAGCTCCCACTCGCAGTCAGTCTTTAACTTGTCGTCCGTCGCAGCTGATGATCTTGACGTTCTTGATCCGTACAACATCTTATGGAAGCTCTGTCGAGCGCGGTCTGTAGCATCAGTCATTCGCTTTTCAGGGCTTTGAGAACGAGCGGCGTCGTTGTGAACCACAGCAGACTTCTTCTTTAGCACGAACATCTCATCGGCAAACTGCTCCCGCGCCTTCTCATATTCATCCGCAGTGAAAATCGCCGAATTCGTCATGTAGGGGTCAAGCAACGATATCCACAAAAGGTCGGGGTCTGCCTCCTTATCAAACCGCTGCTTCAACAAGGCTGAAAAGCTTCGGCGGACGGATTGCATGATGGATAGCACTTCCATTGCGTATGCCTCCTTCTCGACACTTGTATAGAGAACATCAAATATTTGTTGGTTGTCCAGCGATCGTTTGAGTGAAGAGATGAAAAGATGAAGAGATATCAGCGTAGGATAGGTCTCTCCATCGAGCATAGTGGTGGTAACGCTGAACGGGGCCAACAGCTCGACCAGGCACTGAATCATGAACCACTGCTTGGCACTTGGAAGCTTCAACTTTTTTGTAGATCGATTGTTAAACTCCTTCTCGCCTTCTTCCGACTTAATGTACAGGAAAAAACTTTCACCGCAGGCTGCAAATCCAAAAAGCGCTGAAGCATAACCATTGTGCTGTTCCATCTCGTCGGGTAATCGATCAACACTTTTAGGGGCTCTTTTCGAGTGACTGCAGCTCATCTAGTCGATTGCGAGCCTTTTGTGAGCGATGGAAGTAGTCCGCCAGCTTTCGGAACCTTCGAACCGTTTTGCGAACCAGCTCCATATCAGCCGAGCTAATTTCCATAGCCGCCGATTTCTCGGCTTCTGCAACAAAACTGGCAACTTCCCCGCAAAGCGCATCAATATCAGCTTCACTAATAAACTCTTCGTCTTCACCGTCGTCGTCCGAGTCCGGGCCATTTTCCAAGGCATCCAGCTGCTCATCTATCCACTGGGTTTCCGTTTCCACATACTGCTCACTGCGCACACAGACGTCGTTGCCGAGAGTACTGCCAACTTCGCCAGGACTAACACCGGTGCTGGCACCATCAGTAACTGCTATCGCCTTCTTGCGTTCATCTCCTTTCTGCAGAAGCGCCGCGGCTACAACGAGGTGAAGTGAGTGCGCTGCGCATGATCGATGATTGAGCCCAAGGAGGGTGCATCCACGTTTCATGTTCGACGCAGCATCTCGTAGAAATCGAACACACTTCTTGGGGTCCAGACGCCACCACGCAAAGCAACGTAACAGTACATCTGCAATGGCTTCTCCATCGTGTTTTCCAGGAATAGAGGTAACTTCAAGTGTCCACGACTTCATGTTGAACAGGCTGTCAAGGTAGTGAACCGTTAAGCTTATAAAGCTTTCACACTTTATCGAAGTCCAAATATCCGACGAGGCCGAATAGAAGTCACATTCGTCGTCGCTCACCAGCATCACTCGCAGTGACAAACGGCGCTCTGAAGCATTTTCGTGGACACGGAGCGCGACCGTTTGTCTCGACGGGATCTCAAGAACAGTGGTTGCGCTGTTTGCAAACCTTATCGCCTTCGCGAATCCTCTGTCGCCGATGATACTTGTAGGTCGCAAATCCGTACCCACCCATTCCGACAAAATGCCCTCGAAGAAGCTCTGTTCCGATTCATCTTCTCGTTCAAACAAGTTCACCAGTTGGTTCGATTCTTTCAGGGCTGCTTCATGCCGCTCATTTTCTTTGAAAGCCCGTAAGGCCTCGATGTGGGATTTCCGCATGTGGGGGCCAACCAAACTCTTTCCCTTCTTGATGGAAAGCTCCTCCTTGCATCCAAAGCAATAAAAACTCTTGGCGTGGTCGCGGGTGAGGTCTTGCCTTGGAATATCTTTGTACTTGTCGTCTACCACACATACGACGAACTGCCAGTACGCCGTGTCCCGCTGCTTAGGGGCCTCAAATGCCCTTCCAGCCGGGCAACTCGTGACGCCTTTGGCGGTCGGGACCTGTTGAAGTTGTTCGTGTGAGCTTGAGCTGAAAGCTGAATGGTTTAACCGGGCTGCATTTTGCATGCGGGTTTCGGATGGCGCAGTCAGCCTTGCACGCGTTGGTCCCGACGGGGTACTTGTCCTTGAAAGAGCTCCTCTTGGTGTAGTTGTCTTGGATGGAGTTGGGCGTCTTCGTGCTGGTCTCCGCGGAGAGGTTTTTGTTGGAGTTGGTTTTCTTGCCTTTTTCCGAGGTGGCTTTGGCGACGACGCTGGGCGGCTTCTTAAAGACGACGCTGGACGGCTTCTTGAAGACGACGGTGTTGCGCAGCTTCTTGGAGGGGGGCTAGCCACCGGCCAGACGTGGCCTCGCATATCGGAATGAGCTTCCATGCTCACAGGCCCGTGAGTGTGGACTTTGGTCTGGGCGGCGAATTGGAGGATGAGGCCGACAACAGACCACTGGTCGTTGATCTGAAGCTCACTCACGCAGGAAATGGACGGCGCTCCGGCATTTGAGATCTTGTCCATCCCGAACACTTAATGTGGCGCAGCTTGCTTCGTGAATGTGGCATTGACGAGCTAAGACATGGCGTGCTTCTGATTGGCGTTCAAACAACCTTTTTGGCCAATAATATGGCTTAATTAGGTAGGGTGTCAAGGCGACGTCGATAACGACCCTTCACCTAGGTGTTGCTGACGTCCAGTCGACGTCCAGAAGCCCGGACGTCGACAGCTCTATTCGCGAATAGAAGAAAAGTTGTTTATCGATTTTTGTTGCTCTTTGGTGTTTCTTGGTCGCGGAGGGTAGTCCCTGGATCGTCGCAGCAAAGTGCTCCCCACATGTGAAGCTGCGGGAGGGAGGCGTTGCTGGGTTGAACGAGCGGATACGCCTTCCGCAACATGTTACTATCCTGTAGGGCAGAAGCTCTGTGATTCTGCTGAACAACGCTTGTCCGCATTTCGGGGGGCTGGACGGCTGTATGCGTCCCAAATGCTCCCAGCCCCCTCCTATAAGATTTACGCGTCGCAACTGGTTCTGTAATCTGCATGCGATTAAGGCTCCACCGAAGCCAATGCGAGCTATAGATATAGAGAAGTTCATACCACGCGCGCCGAAACAGCCTGTGCCGTAGTCACGCTGGACCACCGCACGCGGCCCTTGTGCAAGTACGCACGCAAGGGAGGGAGGGGCCGGTCGGTGGCTGAGTTGTTAGCCGCCTCGTATGCAGGCGGTTCGTCAGCCGGACTCGTTCAGTGCAGTGCAGTGCTGTGCTGGTGTTGCACGTTCCGCAGTCTCACTTCGACTTCGACGCAGCCAATCAGCGCGCGGCTCGGATGTCTACGTCCGAGTTCAACGACGTAAACAGCGCCATCCAGCCAATCAGCGCGCGCGGTGGACCCAAAAACGTCCACGTCACGGAGCCCATCCCCAGATTGCGCTATCATTGTGAGGCCCAAGCAGAACAGAGAGTGGGCCGTGGCCCTGGTTTAAGGTGGCGCACACCACCGTTCCGGCAGGTGCCGCCGTTTTGGTACAACGCATACCTATCCGGCTCACCTCAAGGTCGCCGTGGTTTCTGATGACGTCCTCCCTCCCAGCTGGCCGCGGCTCTGCGAGCCCCGTGCAGCACGGCACGGCACCTTGATCTCCGGGCCGCGGGCGGGGGTTCCCGCGGCCTCCGCTGCATCCACCCTCTCATTCCTCAATCTTCTGTCTCCGACTCAAGTCTCCGAAAGAACCCCAAGTCCCAGTCACCATGGCCAAGATCGCGATCGTCTACTACTCGTGCTACAACCACATCTCGACGATGGCCGAGACCGTCAAGAAGGGTGTCGAGTCCGTGGACGGCGTGACCGCCGAGATCTACCAGGTGGCCGAGACGCTGCCCGAGGAGCTGCTGACGGCCATCCACGCCGCGCCCAAGAAGGACTACCCGATCGCGACGCCGGACGTGCTCAAGGAGGCGGACGGCATCCTGTTCGGCTTCCCGACGCGCTTCGGCTCGCTGCCGTCGCAGATGAAGGCGTTCTTCGACTCGTGCGGCGGCCTGTGGGCTGCCGGCGCCCTGGTGGGCAAGCCGGCGGGTATCTTCTTCAGCACGGGCACGCAGGGCGGCGGCCAGGAGACCACGGCGTTCACGGCTCTGACGTTCCTGGCGCACCAGGGCCTCACCTTCGTGCCGCTGGGCTACCGCGCTCCGGAGCTGGCGAACATGGAGGAGATCCACGGTGGCTCGGCCTGGGGTGCCGGCACCCTGGCCAACGGCGACGGCTCTCGCCAGCCGTCGAAGCTGGAGCTGACGGTGGCCACGACGCAGGGCAAGTCGTTCGCTGAGATCGCCAAGAAGCTGGCGGCCTAAGCACCTATTGTATCATAAGCGTGCTCGCAACTGGTGGTTAAGTACCAGGACTAGATGTGTGTAAGCTAGGTAGCGGTTGCTGCACTATTGCATCCGCGTATGGTAGCTTTCCATTCTAGAACATTTTGTTTAATACAGTTGTCGTTTGCTGCTTGCACTCCATTGCCGCTTGTGCTGATTTGGTTTTGCGCTGGTGCATTGTTGTCTCTGAATCGTGGTGGGCTAAGTGCCTTGCTCCGCTGATGCTAGGCTACCCGTAGCAGGATAGAGAAGTACTGCGTGTAGCGCTGTTCTGTTCGGCGAAACTCAGTGTGCAAGAGTGATAGAGGAGTGGCTCCGGCATACCTACCTACTACGACGTAGTACGACGATCTTTCGTTGAACATGTAGCTCGGCGTGCGGTTGCTGCCAGCTCAATTGATGCAGTTATCGGTAGGGCGATTTCATGAGCAAGTTGCATGCCGCTTGTATGGCACATTGAGCCGCCGGGTCGGTCTGCTTTGAGCGCTCTCCGAGCTTAAAAGCTACTTTTACTTGTTCTCTAGCCGACGTAGCCATGCTGCCGATGCACAAACAAGCTCTGCCACGTCAGAGTTCACCTTCGGATACTCACTGTTTCACAATCACCAAGTGCCCTAGCCACAGGCTCGTTATCAGGCCCATGGACCTCTGCGAGTTCGCCATCGTGTCACAAGTGCGAAGAAACCACAGCGCTGCTAAACTACTATGGACAGGGTGCGTTTCCACGACGTGAAAGCTCCGCAGGAGTCTCGAGCGCACCAAACGAGTTCATTATTCAATTGTCCTCGCTTCGAGCACATCAAACAACAGCAGCAACAACAAGCACCACCACCAAACATGACCAACGTCGCCATCATCTACTACTCGACCTACGGCCATATTGCCACCCTCGCCGAGTCCGTCAAGGCCGGTGTCGAGTCGGTGTCCGGCGTCAAGGCCACGGTGTACCAGGTCGCCGAGACCCTGTCGGAGGAGATCCTGACCAAGATGCACGCGCCGCCCAAGAAGGACTACCCTGTGGCCACACCCGAGACGCTCAAGGAGGCGGATGCCATTCTCTTTGGCTTCCCGACCCGCTTTGGAGCGTTCCCTGCCCAAGTGAAGGCTCTGTTCGACTCGTGCGGCGGTCTGTGGGCCAAGGGTGCGCTGATTGGCAAGCCGGCTGGCATCTTTTTCAGCACGGGCACGCTCGGCGGCGGCCAGGAGACCACGTCGTTCACGGCGGTGACGTTCCTGACGCACCAGGGCATGACGTTCGTGCCCCTGGGCTTCCGCGCTCCGGAGATGTTCAACGTGGAGGAAGTGCACGGTGGCTCGCCGTGGGGTGCCGGCGCAATTGCGGGTGGCGATGGCTCTCGCCAGGTGTCGAAGCTGGAGAAGGCGATCGCGACGACGCAGGGCAAGTCGTTCGCGGAGATCGCCAAGAAGCTTTCGGTTTAGGATAGCAAGATCGTGCGGCAGATTGAGTAGAGCGAGCGTCGCTAACCTACGTTACTAGGACGGAACCCTGCTGCCTACTGTAGATCCGTCCGTTAGATTTACCCTTACCACGAATACAACTCGTGTTCCCCGCATTCGTAGCATGGATATCTTGCTTTATCAGAACGTGTGTGTGTGGGGGGGGGCTAACCTTATGCTGACGAAGGCCGTGCTGCGAACCATGCTGAACAAGCGCACTCATCACGTGTTTCGCTTCAAATCCAAGTCTACCTGAAGCTGTACGTGCGCTCTTGGTGCGCCTTCCGTGCAACCTACAATGTACGCACCCCCTAACAATCGCTGCTCTATCGCGCGGAACGGCTTGGAACGTTGAGAACTTCTCAGAGAAGGTTTGAGGGAGGCTGGCGATAATGGCATGCTGCTCAGACAACCTGCTACAGTACATGTTTCGGAGGTGTAGGTTGCGACGGCCGTTAAATACAATTGTTTTATCCTCAAGGCATGAGGGCCTCATGATTGCCATGAGCCTCACGATGAGGCTCATGGCAATCGTCAATCCCCTTGATTTGATTATCAGGGCGTATCTTTCGTCCGTTTGCCACGTCAGTGCTCATCCCCCTCGATTGCATAAACAGCAAATCTGAAACACGTTATCAAATACGGTACACACGCCAAGCAAAAGATACGGTACACATGAACTGATTGCCGATTGCCATGATGACAAAGCATCCAACCGCTAGCCGGGGCCCAGCCTTCATGCTGCTTCGCCGCGGCATGCAAACTAATAACAAGCTACCTGCACACGCCAACGACCTCCCCATTCAGGCCTTTTCAAATTGAGAATCTCCAAGCCGTTCCGCGCGATAGAGCAGCGATTGTTAGGGGGTGCGTACATTGTAGGTTGCACGGAAGGCGCACCAAGAGCGCACGTACAGCTTCAGGTAGACTTGGATTTGAAGCGAAACACGTGATGAGTGCGCTTGTTCAGCATGGTTCGCAGCACGGCCTTCGTCAGCATAAGGTTAGCCCCCCCCACACACACACGTTCTGATAAAGCAAGATATCCATGCTACGAATGCGGGGAACACGAGTTGTATTCGTGGTAAGGGTAAATCTAACGGACGGATCTACAGTAGGCAGCAGGGTTCCGTCCTAGTAACGTAGGTTAGCGACGCTCGCTCTACTCAATCTGCCGCACGATCTTGCTATCCTAAACCGAAAGCTTCTTGGCGATCTCCGCGAACGACTTGCCCTGCGTCGTCGCGATCGCCTTCTCCAGCTTCGACACCTGGCGAGAGCCATCGCCACCCGCAATTGCGCCGGCACCCCACGGCGAGCCACCGTGCACTTCCTCCACGTTGAACATTTCCGGAGCGCGGAAGCCCAGGGGCACGAACGTCATGCCCTGGTGCGTCAGGAACGTCACCGCCGTGAACGACGTGGTCTCCTGGCCGCCGCCGAGCGTGCCCGTGCTGAAAAAGATGCCAGCCGGCTTGCCAATCAGCGCACCCTTGGCCCACAGACCGCCGCACGAGTCGAACAGAGCCTTCACTTGGGCAGGGAACGCTCCAAAGCGGGTCGGGAAGCCAAAGAGAATGGCATCCGCCTCCTTGAGCGTCTCGGGTGTGGCCACAGGGTAGTCCTTCTTGGGCGGCGCGTGCATCTTGGTCAGGATCTCCTCCGACAGGGTCTCGGCGACCTGGTACACCGTGGCCTTGACGCCGGACACCGACTCGACACCGGCCTTGACGGACTCGGCGAGGGTGGCAATATGGCCGTAGGTCGAGTAGTAGATGATGGCGACGTTGGTCATGTTTGGTGGTGGTGCTTGTTGTTGCTGCTGTTGTTTGATGTGCTCGAAGCGAGGACAATTGAATAATGAACTCGTTTGGTGCGCTCGAGACTCCTGCGGAGCTTTCACGTCGTGGAAACGCACCCTGTCCATAGTAGTTTAGCAGCGCTGTGGTTTCTTCGCACTTGTGACACGATGGCGAACTCGCAGAGGTCCATGGGCCTGATAACGAGCCTGTGGCTAGGGCACTTGGTGATTGTGAAACAGTGAGTATCCGAAGGTGAACTCTGACGTGGCAGAGCTTGTTTGTGCATCGGCAGCATGGCTACGTCGGCTAGAGAACAAGTAAAAGTAGCTTTTAAGCTCGGAGAGCGCTCAAAGCAGACCGACCCGGCGGCTCAATGTGCCATACAAGCGGCATGCAACTTGCTCATGAAATCGCCCTACCGATAACTGCATCAATTGAGCTGGCAGCAACCGCACGCCGAGCTACATGTTCAACGAAAGATCGTCGTACTACGTCGTAGTAGGTAGGTATGCCGGAGCCACTCCTCTATCACTCTTGCACACTGAGTTTCGCCGAACAGAACAGCGCTACACGCAGTACTTCTCTATCCTGCTACGGGTAGCCTAGCATCAGCGGAGCAAGGCACTTAGCCCACCACGATTCAGAGACAACAATGCACCAGCGCAAAACCAAATCAGCACAAGCGGCAATGGAGTGCAAGCAGCAAACGACAACTGTATTAAACAAAATGTTCTAGAATGGAAAGCTACCATACGCGGATGCAATAGTGCAGCAACCGCTACCTAGCTTACACACATCTAGTCCTGGTACTTAACCACCAGTTGCGAGCACGCTTATGATACAATAGGTGCTTAGGCCGCCAGCTTCTTGGCGATCTCAGCGAACGACTTGCCCTGCGTCGTGGCCACCGTCAGCTCCAGCTTCGACGGCTGGCGAGAGCCGTCGCCGTTGGCCAGAGTGCCGGCGCCCCACGGGGATCCGCCGTGGATCTCGTCCATGTTGAAGAGCTCCGGGGCGCGGTAGCCCAGCGGCACGAAGGTGAGGCCCTGGTGCGCCAGGAACGTCAGCGCAGTGAACGCCGTGGTCTCCTGGCCGCCGCCCTGGGTGCCCGTGCTGAAGAAGATACCTGCCGGCTTGCCGACCAGAGCACCGGCAGCCCACAGGCCACCGGCCGAGTCGAAGAAGGCCTTGACCTGCGCCGGCAGCGAGCCAAAGCGCGTCGGGAAGCCGAAGAGGATGCCGTCCGCCTCCTTGAGCACGTCCGTCGTGGCCACGGGGTGGTCCTTCTTGGGCGGCGCGTGCATCTTGGTCAGGACCTCCTCGGGCAGCGTCTCCTGGATCTGGTAGATCTCGGCGGTCACGCCCTCCACGGACTCGGCACCCTCCTTGGCCGACTCGGCGAGCTTGGCGATGTGGCCGTAGGTGGAGTAGTAGATGATAGCGATCTTGGCCATGGTGGGTGGTTGTTAGCGGGGAGGACTGGAAGCTTGGGACTTGAGCGAGGCTAGGCAGATTCAGGAATGAACAGCAAAGGAGGCGAAGGAAGCGGGGGGCAGGCAGTGTACCCTTTTCGTCCCTTGAAGTGTCGCTGATAACGGGCCACGCTGAAGCTGAAACCTGTGTGATCTAGTACAAGTTCATAAATGCTGGAAAAACAAAGTAGATTGACGCGTAAATGCATTCGATTAAGACCTACGAGAACACGTACCCTGTCCTGACCGATGCAACTCACAGCAGGCATCTGATTAGCCAATCGAGCGATCCAGTGTGACGTGGCACCGCAGGTTCACTTGACGCCCCGCCATTGGCCCAGTTGCAGCTATTAAAATAGCAGGCGCTGACAGGCATTCCCCAAGTTCTGCTTGACGATCGCCGCTTGCAGCATCGAGCTCTCAAGCTTAAAGCCCAAGGGGGCGAAGGACGAGAAAAGGCCTTGACAAAGGTGTGTTTACTTTAAAGAGGTGTATTGCCTGGTGAGCGAGATCAAGACGCTTCTATAGTACACACGAATTGATCTTGTGCGTTGGTCCTGTGCGTCTAGGCCGACCACTTTTTGGCGATCTCCGCGGACGACTTGTGCGTACTGTGTGTACTGTAGCAGGCTACTGCGCTGTCATTGTCCTTACTTTTGTGGAGATCAAGCTGAGTTTCGAGAAACGAGAAATGTGCTTGGTTTTTCGAGTACATAAACTTCATTTGAGCTCGCGCACTGCGTCAACTTGCAACTACTGACTTCACTCTAAAGGCGCCATTTGTTTGGATGGCATCCATGAGCGGGAGTAACGTGCTCCAAGCAACTTTTCTTCTGTTTTCTGCTACATGTCGCTCAAATTTCTCATTAGCTTGCTCACATCCGCAGAAATGTGTCGATGTGTTACACTCCAGGTACATTCGTACTGTATCCTTCTCTGGTTTCGTCTAGGGTGGCGATGCCAAAGTTGGCGTCTTTTCTTAAGTACAAATAAAAAAAAAATTGCGATTACTCGAAGCCATCAAAATGTGCTTGGAATCAAGTAGACCCACCGCGTTGAACGCGCTTCATTCATGTCATCTGATAAACATTTTAGCGCTTCAGCTGCCGGTAAGTACGTGAAAGGAATACACGGTATGCGGGGTTGAAGCGTAGCAAAATAGGTGTTAATCGCGAAAAGGATAGCATGAAAAATTATTTTCGAGCATGCTGCGTCTTACTAAGTGTTCATGTACTACAGCCAGGTAGACGTGTGCACGAAAGTCCCCACAAATGCACTGAAGTACTTAAGTGCACTTTTGGGGCACCTGCTGGAGATTAGAGCGTGCACTAAAGTACTTTAGTGCATTTGTGGGGACTTTCGTGCACTGCACTAAACAGGTCTACAGCCAGGTTATCACGTCGAAACGGTCAAATATTTTTCGGAGGACAATTCCACAAGTACTGTTGCTGTAAAATTATGATTGTTTGATCCTTGCAGCAGCTTTGTGAGGACTACTGATCCCTGTTTGACTTGGGCCTTCAAAGGTAAAAGTAGAAGTGTATTCAAGTGAAGAGTGGGGGGAGGACACTGCTCCTATCGTGTCCGCTACCAAGGGTACCCTCCTTGGCTAGGAGGTGTTCCTAAGATACTCGTAGACTGTTCCTAAGACTTGGCCGTTTGTTCAGACTATCAGTGAGCTGGCAGCGCGGCCGCTGCACTGGTAACAACTACTAACTAACACGTTCATAAAGGCGATGATACCGTACCGCAACCGCCAAGAACCCCCCGTGGTGATATTTTACGTAGCTCTGACTACCTGTGTAGAGCTCTAGCTAGGTATTGTTCGCGAGAAGCGTTCACGAAATGAAAGCCGAAAACGTGCCATACTACGTGGGTCGAATTCGCCGTCTTACACCGTACTAATACGATTCAGGCAAACTCCGGACGCCTCATGCCAGCGCTCGGTCCTATCGACGAATCACTTTCAGTTTGTCTCGCTACGAGAATCAAACAGCACCAGCAACAACAATAACAACAGCAACTACACCAACAAGCATGGCCGAGGCCGCCATCATCTACCGGTGGTGACGTTCCTGGCGCACCGGGGCATGACGTTCCTGTCGCTGGGCTCCAGCGCTCCGAAGATGTTCAACATGAACGAGAATCCGGCGACATTGCCGGCAAAGACGGCTTTAGCCAGGTGTCGACGCTGGGCAAGGCCATTGCGACGACGCAGCGCAAGTCGTCCGCGGAGATCGCCAAAAAGTGGTCGGCCTAGACGCACAGGACCAACGCACAAGATCAATTTGTGTGTACTATATAAGCGTCTTGTTCTCGCTCACCAGGCAATACACCTCTTTAAAGTAAACACACCTTTGTCAAGGCCTTTTCTCGTCCTTCGCCCCCTTGGGCTTTAAGCTTGAGAGCTCGATGCTGCAAGCGGCGATCGTCAAGCAGAACTTGGGGAATGCCTGTCAGCGCCTGCTATTGATGGGTTATCTACCCTTCCGCAACCGGTCTCTTGTCGATAAGAATCCAGTCGACAAATAACAGCCATTGCCCCTTTTTAGCCAATAATAGGTTAGTAGCACGCGCAAGTCCTTTCACAGCTTAATGCCTCAGAAGTCTCCCTCAACCTCCCTCGTCGCTCAAGAAACAACATGCGCTGCCACAGAGGCTTCTGGGCCTACGCAGGCGACAAAGGCACCGACATCTCGGACAGCGCTGCACGCTTCGCGCAAGAGCAAGCCTCTCAAGCGGAGCCAGGTGCCAACAAGGCGGCAGAGAATTGGCTGCGAACGCGGGCTGGAAGGGCTCTGAAGTAGCGCTGGGAGGGGGAGACAGCTACGATTCGGCAGGACTACATACAGAAGAACCCTGACGCTACCTTTTCGCTGGACGACAACCCACTGGGCTTCGCGGATGGCCGGCAGGATCGCCGGCGTTATCCTCGAATGGTGCGAGCCGACATCGCTACGCCTGAGGTACTGCAGGAAGAGGCACCGGTAGCACCAGCTACGACACGCACACCCGTCGACACTCAGTGTCGAGAACAAGTTGGTGAATTTAAGCGCTACCAGGACGAGCTGCTGCGGGCTGCGTTCGTGGCCGAAGTGACAGCGCTTGCGCACGCAGTCCGAGCGAACGACGTTAGCCGAGTTGTGTCACGTTCGGTGGCAGTAGAAGAATGTATGGGCGTCCAAATTGCAGCAAGTTTATCCCCCGATTCAAGAGCTCGTGTTGTGGGAGTCATTCGTGACGTGACAGCGTATATGCAAGCTGCACGAACACAGTTGACTATGCACTCTGATGAAGAGGCGGATGGCGCGCTTCATGAAACGCAGACTAGCGCAGCTGCCGCTAACTCAGCACTGAGCAACTACGTGCGTGATACCATTCAAGTTAACCCAGACTTCAAGGCCATGCACGAGGGCAGGGGAAACTACACGACCAGCAGCACCAATAACTTGCAGGAGTTATATTGGCTAGGAAACGTATCCTCGGTGCAAACTTTGCAAGCTAGTCCAGGCTCAACTGCTGTGTCAAGTGATGCATCGTCTACATCAGCTACGGTGGGTTAGGCAGGGGCGTCTGTCGAGAGACTCAATGGATCGGTTGCTGAGGGCGCGGCTAATAGCAGCAACGATGCTCAGATATCACCCTCGACTCAAGCAAAACCTACCACTAGTACCTCTCGCAAATGCCCCCGGTTGCTCGAAGGAAAGCAGCGATCCGCCACGACAAATTCAAAGCCACACGCAACCAGCGGAAAAGAGCAACCGGCTGGTAATGCGGCAGATGATGAAGATAGCGCGTATGAGCCAAGCAATGCGGAGGAAAGTTACGCGAATGATGACGATGTGGACCCCCCCCCCCCGAATGGGCTTTTCAGAAATCGCGTGTCAAAAATGATCCTCTGATAGTGTGGACCGATCTCGAAGATGACGATCACCCCCGAACAGTGCATGTTTACCCTGTGGATTTGGATAGCTTGCAGACTGGTGCTTGGTTGACCCAAACTGGGCTGGATTATTTTATCTGTCGCTATATGGAGCGAGTTAAAGGATTAATTCGCGTATGTGACTCGGAGTTGTACGTATTGATGGAGACTGCACGATTCACGCGAAAGTCGAAACGAAGACGCCGACTGTTGGCTGACCTAGTCGCATTGTTTGACTGGTCGGCCTACCAGTATGTGCTTCTCCCAGTATCGGGTCGCAACCACTACAGAGTTTTGGTAATTGAGAACCCCATGCACCCGGGACCAACAAAAGTTTATCACGTCAACTCGGTGAAAAATGCTCACAGCTCGGCGTATGCTTTTGACGTTCTGCAATGGGTCCTATCAGAGACCCATAAATCCCAAGCAGAATCTTCGGCTCCGTTTGAGTGGAGCACCTTTGTCCATTTGACCAAGCCCCAGCAATCAAATTGCATCGACTGTGGAGTTTACGTGCTCCATTACATGGATGTGATTTCAAAACACATTGCAGCCGAGAAGCCTGGATCGATCGAGGTGAAGATCGCCGCGTGGACAGGGGGTGATTTCGGCGTCAAGAAGGCAGCAGCATACCGAGCTAAGTTGTATAGGACTATATCTCCAGCGTGATTAATTGTAGCACCCGGTGAGTAGAAACACAATCAACTTCTTTTTAACACGGTTCCGGTTATTGACGCTATGGCTCAATGTAGCAAGTATCGGAATATGTAGTACCGCAAAAATGCGCTATGGTACTGCAAAACATCACTGCGGTACCGCACTGTAATACTGCTGTACCGCATGCATTGCGTTACCGCGTGGGATCACTGCGGTTCAAACAATACCCACGGGTTAATAGAAAGGAGGTGCGTTCGTCATGTTTTTCTATGGTCGATACTCGACCGCTTGGCGATATTCTCAAGTGCGACTTGTAGTACTTCATCCTGTATGTATTCAACTAGATTTAGCGTTGCTTCACTGTTCAAACTGTGATTCCTCGCGTGTCATCCGTAGGACTACGGTGAACACATACGTCCGACTATTGACGAGTTCTGAAATATTGCAAGATACGGTTG